TATAGCAGTAACTGAAATACATCATCTGTGAAACTTTCAACTGTCTAGCTATCCCGGTTCATGAAATACCACCAGGCTGAATGACGGACTGACAGACAGCGGAGTCTTAGTAATAAATTCCCGTTTTACCCTTTGGATACGGAACCCTAAAAAATGGGAAAAATCAAATTAATGTATGTTTTCATCAAATTTTTATTAATGATTATGGTTAACCAATGAGTATGGAATTTTGGGGATTTGGTGAACACTAGTATATAGTAGTAGGTACGTGGAGGACCGAGCTTTACTCGGTTTGGTTTTTTTTAGTAAATCGTGTATTTTTGGAAATTACATTTAGATAAAAATTACTGAGTAATGAAATATGCATAATATTTTTCGATCTTACCTACATAATAATAAGAAAATATGAACTGATGTTTTTCACAAAAGAAAGAACCTTAAAAAATAAGCGAATAAACAAAATCATGTGGATCGACAAAAAATATAAAAATAAAGAAATCAATGATCTGGAATCGAAAGAAAAGTAAAAAAATAAGTGTGTAAATGATCGTGAAACAAACCACGGCCTTCTGTTTCGGGGCCGCCCGATTACCGACCGAGCTATTATACCAATTTTTTTTTGGTGAAATTTACCGTCGTATTCGAATGATATTTTCAAAACTGAAACTGATATTTTGAAACTCCATGAAAACTGGGATAAAACGTCATTTCCTAAAAATGAAACCTAGCCAAATCGATTTCTCGCACCCGAATCTATTACCTTTTTTTGCTTCAAGCATTAAAACAAATAATTAAGAATTAGGAAAATAATTGAAAAATTTGCTTAAAGGCCAACAATTGCACTAGTTCTCTGAGTTCTCTTAATAAATGAACATTCATTTCAGCAGATGTACATAGTTTAACTAACAAGGGGTGTTAATTTAAATTTAGTATCATGACTTTGCGTAATGAACGGAAGGATGATTGTTATAATGGCATTGTGTATTCCATGTCGCTAAGTATTGAGTATTACTTGTTTGCCTTCCTTCCATTTAGAGTATTACCAAATGTTTTGACTTTTAATTAGTTTTCAAATATTTCTTGTTAATTTCCCTTATTTTCACACCAATCTAGAATTTAGTTTTATAAAATGAAAGATTCAATTGATATATCATTAAATGTAATAATAATGTATAACATATAATGAAGTCCGATAAAAAATAGTTCAAATGGATAGTTCATATATTTACATCATTGTTCAAAGGCATTTCCGCAAAAAGTATTGCGATTTTGTTATTGTTTTCATTATTAATATTGCTATCGTCATATATATATATACCTCTTTTTACGAAAATTGCGCGTACGGAGGAGTATGAAATTTCCCATACTTATAGTTTATATAGGGAAGGAGTGCAGAATGCTAATATTTTTTAAAATCATGCATAAAAAATACATTAAATCAATAAAAAAAACCATTACACACTACCATATATAGTTAATAATGATCGAATTACGACCACTAGGCGACCACTAGTCATTATTAATATCCTTACATTATTTCACGCCCGCCTCGTAAAGATCGCTGATACGATAATGGCCCACACGTTTCGTCTCGCGACATGCAAATTCACGTGACGTCGGCAATTTTTAATTACCAAGACGTCTGAGCATCCGTCTGGTGGCAGCGGGATTGCGGTGGAGCCGAAAGCAGTCAGGTGACAACGCCGCGAGGCGTCGGGGAGCAGTTAAGTGTGGCATTTTACGGCTTTTATGCATATTTGATGGCGCCGCCATAATCTCTGCGGCGAGGGGAGAACGCTCGGGTCCACGCACACCTCACCTGCACTGGTTAATACGAGTCGCTGCTAGCTTATGTTTGCGCCGTGGAAGTTGCTCTTAGGATAAGATTCGTAATCGTTACTTAGTAGTAACCACAGCTATCTCTTTGAATTGCTAATAAAATATATATTGTAACGTTTAGTTGAATTAATGTATTTCTACCCTCAATTATAAGGCTTAAAGACCGTAACCGTAATCTATATGTATATACATAGTAAAGAGGCACTCCAATTTCTTAGCAAGTGTTGGTCAATCAACATCTAGCTGAATTTAAAAACAGTAACAAAACTGAGTAAAGTTGCCAAACGAGCAGACGGTTCACCTGATGTTAAGTGAATACCGCCGCCCATGGACATCTAACTACTATACCCGAGGGTTCCAGATGCGTTGACAACTTTTTGAGAATTGGGCTCCGGCCTCCTCTCTCACCAGACGAAACGCGAAAGTATTATACTAATGGACACGCCTCGCCGTGTGAGCAGAGAAAGAAAAATATGACAAGCAAAATAATTGATATTATTATTAAATAATTAAAAGTGTGAAACTAAATATTACATTTTATTCAACTTCGTATATTATGTCAATTTAATATTACACATTAAATTCGTGACTAGACTAAGCGTAACATTTAAATAATCCGTTGTTTAAAAGGCAAAGCCGACGAATTCGAAAATAATTACAGGAATTAGACGCGTGCTAAGAGGGCCGTATCAATTACAGGCGGTGAGCAAACAGGGCATTATGTGCTCAATATTAAAATCGAATTTACAGACCGCCCCAGTTTGTGAGCGGCCTTAGCTTCGCTACAGGAATTTAACAACAGCGCTACATTAGAATTGAAGAATAGGCATGTACGGATGACGCAAAACGCCTACTGTTTTCTTTATTTAAAAAAGTGAATACTTAGTCATAATGATTATGAATACGATAAGACTTCCATGTTCTTAATTTCAGTCAAAGTATTTTTGGTTGTCATTAGCCAATGACTACATATAAGCCTTATTCATATTTTATTTCTGCTCTTCATTCTTTTCTTATTTACACGAAGAAAATTGTTCTTGCAGGTTTACAGACAAATTAGATAAAAAGCATACTTAAAGAAACAATCAAGTTAACGAAAGTTTACAGTTTTCACATTTACTAATGTAAAGGTATTCCCCGGAATGTAAACCGAGGGAACAGTAGTAAATATCTTACAGTCAATAGTTTATTTGTATAAATAGTTTTATTTGATTACATTGTATGAATTTTTAAAATTAACACTGCAAATTAAAACATGATTAAATCAATGTTGTTAAAAACAATGAATCTCAATATACAATATATAACTTCTATAAATAAAAAAATTCTCTTCAAATTCATTGTTCTTTAAATATAATATTTCCCGAATATTTAAACGGAAAAAAAAGACGGTAACTGTTAAAGTAAAAGTTTACTTATTTTCTGTGTTGTAAGTATAGGAAGAATAATGTTTTTCACTTTTATTAATGTCATTTAAACTTCAATGTAAAATACGTCACATTCAAAGTAAAGAACATTGTTCCTGATATTAAGATATGAGAGTATGTTTGAAATAATATTTCTTCATTACGAATTAGGTAAGTAAAATTTCAACTGAATCCTTAAGATCTCTCAACGTTTCAAAATAGCCTTTATCGTCCTTACTTATATTTAGAACTCTCCGTGGAATACGCACAATTGAAAGTAACGTTTTCATGATTGACGTCACCAGAAAAATTATTCTATTTTCTCTACGAAAACTTCACAAGCTATCCGTACGACGAAAGAGTTTCTGTGGCCCTTTGCGCAACGTCAATTAAAATCGTATTTCGAAACCACGTGTTCGGGAACACGTAAAGCCGTCATTTCCATTAACAATGGGTGTTACATTATTTTTATACTATTATTCGTGCGAGAACAGCTTATTATAAAGTAGTATTGTTAATTGAAACATTCTATTTTTTGAGCGCATCACTAAATATGAAAAAGTATTCAAATGTCATTATTTTGATTAAAACTTTGTGGTTGAAATTTGTTTGTTATTATATTTTGCAGCTTGCAATCAATGAAACTCAGGTACTCAATTACGCTAATTGGTGTAATTAGATTGCAACTCTATAAACTGCTCTCTCATTCCATATCATCTGTCACATTCACTTATAAACGTCACGCATTATAGACATGCGTCATCTTTAAGAAAACATCATTGCTTGCAATGACTTAAGCTGTAGTAGGGCTACGCATTAGCTTCTGCTGTTTCATCAATGGGAAGGCACATCTGGGAAAGTACCAAGGCCTCACAGAAGACCAGCACGAAGTGGAAATTTACTATGGACATCTTCAGGTGCTGTAGATGTCCATAGGCATTGGTGTTTTCTTGGTGTCGTGTGAATCTTTCACTTGCTCATCTCCTACGAATTTTCACATGAAAAAAAAATTACAATTCTAAATTTCAAATATCATGAGGGGCAAAAATAGTCTTATGGGTAGTACTTCTACTGCGATTGGCATAGGACCTCTCTATCCTTATGACATTTTCATAAATTTAGAGGGTTATAAGATTTACAAACTGGAAAATGGGAATGGGTTCGAGCATACTCTGTGTTCATTTATTTTGCTGAAAGAAAATTAATTTGAAAATATCTTTGTTACAGAGTAATGACGGCGAAGAGATAACACACAAATTTTTCCATCCCTCCACATCACAAATGTAAGTAAAATATATATGAAATCTATGTGGGAATTTCTTTACCTACTTAATTGATAGTAAAATATCTCTCATGAGCTTTCATAACCCGTTCGATATACCAAAGTTTGTATTAAAAAATACACCATACGAAAAAAGTAGTACTGAAACTGTAATAAAAGCAAATAAGAAATTATGAAATTAAATTAGAAAAATATTGTGTACTGTAAATGTACTATTATGCATTAAAATAAACGTAATAAAATATAGTTTACGTAAATAAAACTCTCATTAACCAAAAGTATTTGTGTTAATCAGGAAATCTTAAGAAAATATCTGCATTATTACACGTACGAATTTCCTAATGGCTCAGTGAGCTCGGAGATAGGAGCAGGCGTAAGTAACAGCCCACGGCCATACATTATTCTCAACCATAAAACCGCTTGCAATTGTCGCGGGCGATATTTATTTATGTATATTTATGTAACTTGCATAAATGTGTGCGGGGGAGCGCGTGATCCTCGACTCGCGGTAATTATTGCGTGACTTATTGGCGAATGAAGATAACACGTACGTAGCGACCAGGGCATACGGAACCCTTCGAGTGTCGCGTTATTGCTGCATTGTACGCACGTGTCACATTAGAAAGGGCGGTTAGCGGGTCTACGTTGGTTGGTGGTGGCGGGTAGCGCTCGGAGGGTTGTGGCAGCTTTATCTGCGCGCTTGACTGTTCGATCGTGACTCACCGACGGAGATTTCGGTAATTACGTTGATTATGAGAACGAATCGTGTCCCGCGATTTACGGACGATAGTGAATGCAGATTGCCGCGAAATAATAAAATTAATTTAGGAAGAAAATGTTTTAACTGAAGCTGATGAATAATAACTTCGAAATTGTATTTAATAGTGCAAGGCATGCTATCAAATGTATTGCTCACTTATATTTTTCTTATGCTATAATAGATCACTCTTTTCACAACATAAGATTATAGTGTACACAGAAGTGTCTTACATAATAATAATAAAGAAATCGTATATAGAAAATCACTCAGACCTGGAAACCCAAAATATTAATTTTACCAACCGTCAACAATTTGTGTCTATTTCTTTTTTTTTTTTTATTTATTTCTTAAAAACAACCTGCAATTTCAATTACAAACAGACACCACATACACAGAGTATAGGTGCTTAAACAGTATTATAAAAGTTAAGTGTCAATAAGTGTCAATTTGATAATTATATTAATATGAAAAATTAAGAATGTATTATAATAACGTATGCATATTTTTAGCAATAATGGTGTCCTGGGAAGATAAAAATCAAACCATAGACCTTCGACGCCTAATCTTACCCCGTAACAAGTGCGCCATCAAACCATTGTATAGATAATTATTATGTAATAATATTGATCTTTAAATTAAAATTTTATTTTTTAACTACTTAAATCTAATAAAAACCACTTATTATTCATGAATACTTCATCACGAAATGTATTTATTACTACGGAAGCTAAGTTTTGAAAAAGAAATTAAATGAATACTCTTAAACTTGTTTGAAAGCATGAACTAATAAAGCAAATTTTACGAACAAAGGAATGCATTAAAGCCACAAGCAAACTGATCCAATTGTAATATCGCACTTCCCGACATCGAAAGTTAGTATGCATTGACTTTGAAAAGTCGTCCAAAACTAAGTTGGGTTATGTTTATGAAACTATTCGGATGCGGGCGTGTGCCGCCGATACACAGGCAAGAACTCGCGCTCAACTCTAGGCATAGTTCGCTAAGTGGAACAGATGTAAAACAAAGTAGCAAAGGGTCTAGGAACTTACTGTGTACGTTGGCAACTATTCGGCGCCCAAACATATGTCCTCCGATAGGCGCTACGGCGGCGCGGCGCCACGCCTCGCAACTTTGACAGTTTAATTCGGGAAGCGCAACGGGCAACGACCGTAGACAATTTATAAATAAGTTAAACTAGGTCCAACTAAAGTATTGCGGCGGGTGATAACGGCGAGCCTATACTAAGCCCCTCCCGCGCCACGTCGCCCTCCCGCAGATAAACTTTTAAAATGACTTTGGAAGCTTTTGAGCTTTTAATCGGTAAAGTTGTACAGACAGACAGTTCGGGCACAATCCTTGAACCGCTTGCGCCGGCGACGGCGGCCGCAAAACTTTGTTTTACAGGACTACTTTTCTTCTTGTTTCAAGGTTGGACTCTTAAAACAAACTCCGGTTCGACGGAGTTCGTGAACTCGGGCGCCAACAATTTACAAATTTCTCTCTTTCATAACAACTAACTGCCGCTCGGCGCGCGGCGAAAGTTGTCCTGCGTAGATCTTAATCGCATTGTCTGTTGCGCTCGCGGTGCGAACAGCTGATCGTGATGTCACACTTTTATTGAACTTCAAACTTAACTTGAGTGCAGTGCGTGATCTGTTAATGTGGCGTGATTTAACAACAAAATACGATATTAAAATAAAATTTCTGAATATTACACTGAATTATAACAAATAGATAGAAAATTACGAAACTTCGTAGCAGGCGGCGAGAGCGACGGCCGGCGCCCTCTGATTCATTCAATTTGTTTAAGTGACATTGATAGCACCAGAGCGGTCAAAAAACTCGTCTGCCAAATTTGACGCCGCGCCCCCGGCGATCGACGCTGGCTTCTTTTTTCATTCGACACATTACCTGCCAAGGGTCACAAATTGGTACCGAGTAAAAACAGTGATTGGCTTTTAATGCATGCACCATTTATCTTTTTTGCCACACTCCTAACTTTCTTTTAATATAAACGTGCTATTTAAACAGTCAGTTGCATTATAACCTGAGCTTTAAATTTACATTGGAAATAAAATAAACTTATATGTACATAGTAAGAGTGCTACGACGACAGTGTAGGCTATATATCAATCACAAGCATAAACATAAGTTATAATGCAGTACCTATTTGGTATTGCGCGTAAATTTTACGTAACTAGAAATAAATAGGTTGCGGGTGTGTGGGGCGGGGCGGCGTGGGCGCGGCGTGCGCGCGCATATTCCTCCCGCTCACCCCCCACCCCCGCGGAGCCCCCTCACGACCTCGCACGGCCTCCGCATAGTCCGCGAATCGCGCCCCGCGAGCAACCCGCGCCCAGGAGCTCGCTCCTCGCCTCGTAGCCGCTTGCCCCGGCCTACGGACAAACTTTTCCGCCGTAGCCCCGCTTCTTAGTTACACGCGCTACGAGCGGCTACGAATTTATACACCGCACACAAGACAAAGTGCAATTTTCTTTGTGCAGTGTAATAAAATCTTTAACTTCTCTCAGTGAACTCGTGATCTTATATATAAACTATACTGTGCGTGATGTGGGTTCGACTCTCCGTTCTGTAACAATGTCGGCCCTTGTGCGGCCCGTCTGGTAAGTCTACTTAAGCGCAATAAAAATTTATACTTAATAACATTATTTGAAAAATACGAAACTTAGTTACTAAATACATATTTTTGTGTATTTAAACGGTTTTAAAGATTATTTTTCGGGAGTTTGTTATTTCAGCAGTGCATTTCTACGTCGCTGACATACTCGCTGAAGGATCGCTCAAGGATTGAAGAAATAAAAATAAAAACGTTAACGCACAAATCCCACGGTCGTAAAACCATTTCACAATATGCTTTCAAAGTAACGCAAGTTAAATGAATTATTTTATTCGCATTTATCATCACATAATGAGCGATAAATTATAAGTTAGGTTAAATTATTAATAAAAAGTGTTTTTAACTGCTCATTAAGAGCTGATTTCTCATTGTGCCTGAATACCCAATTTTAAGTGTCATTTGAATTTTTCAAATATTTATTTAGGAATAATATTACGGCAAACTACAAGTTATTTTGAAGTTTTTGACGGATAGTTTTTGACGATCATAAATAAATATTTAATTTAAAAATCAAGTGATAAACATATTTTTTTATAATTATTTAAATTTTGATGATCCTGTCTAGATATTTTAACAATTAACATTGTACGATAATTTTTTTTTTGTTCATGGTTAACCTATTTTAGTATCGTTTAAAAAATATATCAAACGACTTAACAATACATAACCACAATATTTATGAAATAGATAACTGTGAATTTACACTACGTAATACTTGGGCAATAGTTTATATCTATTTTTTTATATAAAGAGTGTAATGTTAAATAATGCAAAAGATATCAACTATATTTAGATATATCCCAAAAGGTAGTTTAATGAAAGTAAAATATCTTTTATATAAGTTAAAGTTTTACACTTAACTTTCATTTTCCTCTCATTAGCAACGGTATTAAATCGTTTTACAATTAATAAAAAAGACAAAAATACAATTCCACAAAAGTTTTGAAAAAGTGTAGAGATTAGTACAGAAAAAAAATTAAATCTGACCAAAAAAAGTTAATTGTGGAAGTTTGCTTAGTGATTAACTTAAACGTTTACAGGTAGGGTTGTGCTAAACCGATTTCACGTGTGACACTTCCGTACCGAGGGCCGTGCGCCGATCTAGATAGCCGCTTCAAATTGTTTCCACTGTAGCCGACGAAGCTATCTGATGGGCACCTTCCCGCGGGCTTAATTGCGCCACGATTTCGAGCCACTGGATTCTCTGAATGCGTCTAATTTAAAAGGGACGTCAATTAATTGATATGGCTAGTAAAGAATTGCTGAAATAAAACAGTAGCTGTAGAAGTACCTAGGTATTGAATTGAATATCATAGTTTGGAATAATAATCTATCCATAATAATGACTTATTCAAGTTTCACAAATTCATCGTGAAAAAAAAGTTATAACGCGATCATAAATTTAACGTAGACAGTATTTCTTCAATAGCTGTATGAGAAATAGTAACGAAAATTGTACGCGTAATATTTTATACAAATATATTTTTATATAAGTAAGTAAAGCTTCAATGCCACATATTCTCAATCAAATTTAATAAAGATATCCAGAGATATTGATAGAGAACGAAAAGCGAAACGTAAAACAAAACCAGAGTTCAATCGGTTAAAACGTGCACAAGGCAAGCGGAGTTGGCGCGGCGCAAATGTGTCCGCGTACACAAGGGTCCCACACAGAGTATGATAACCCTCGCGTCGAGTGCACTCCGAGGGCTGTAGGGCTGCCAGAAACGCTAAATCCTTTAATTCGTTTCAAATTTTCAACCGAAATACAATTAAAACGAGTAGAAGTCTGGTAATTTTTTTTGATCATTAACACTTCAAACAAAGGTAATTAAAAATAGGAATATACGAAATGTATTAACTCTTCCCAAAAGTAAGAGAAAATACTATTCGAAAGACAAAAAACTAATCTTTAAAGTTCATAAATGTTAAATTGCCATCAAACATCTTTGTTTAATGCAATGAAAATTCTTTGTCAGATTTCAATAAGATAACATGTATTATAAATTTCGCATTCCTTTGCATAATGTTTCAAACAATAATTGAAGTTTTTTTTAATATCAAAAAGAAAAAAAATTTCAGACCAAATATTTCAAAATTTTAAGATTGCATTAATGATTATATGATTTGATAGAATTTAGAAATTGTATATTTTTAGTTTTTAAAACATTTATAACAAACCTTATGAACGATTGTTATAATTGTTTCATTTCAAATATTTTAAACGAAGCAAACTTTTATACGGTGACTAAGTAACTCAACAATATGTGATGGATTTAATTATAAAAATATTCGATTAACTCTGAACAAATAACTCTTATATTAAAATGATTTATCTCGATTGCATTCCACATAACACAGTACAGAACTATTATGAATTAATCGTAAAATAAAAAAAAGTAAATACAAAAGAAGTAATACATTACGTACACCTTGTCCGTAATGTATTTTGCTAACAATGACCTATATCAAAATCGATTTATCTCAACCCTATAATAAGACAGGGGTAAAAGCCGCTCGCAGTTCTATACCATTAGCCTACTTATTTAGAGCGAATTTAACTATTGCAATATTGATTTTTCGCTCTTGGTTTAGGGGCTTTTTGCCATAGCCTCCTCGTACCTCCAACTTGCATATAGAATTAGTTCGTTCAAATTTAAAATATCGAATGTAAAAAAGTTTTTATTTTAAATTGCCCACCCAAGCATCTTTTCATATGTTTCGGATACACACACATATTTTTTGCGTATTTTGATATATCAAATGTTAAATTTTGAAAATATAACGTTTATTTTCAGTAAAAGTTCTAGACATAAATAATATTATATTAAAAATGATAAATATCACTCGTGAGTAGTTGATTACATTCATTTGAACTTATCTCAAAAAGTGCGTGATTAATACGCAACTCATTCATTTTACGCGCGATCATTCATAACTAACACGCACACAAAAACTGAGCAGTAAAATTTAGGTATTTATGAATGACTACCGCATTGTCCACACGTTCTGTTTTTAGGGAATAGAATAGCATTTGGAAAAAAAACTTTGTTTTTTATTTCAATAAACGATTACACTACCGAGTCTGAACCTCCTGTGTAAATTTGGGCACTTCTCAAAAAATCTCCCTGTATAAGGTATATTTTATAACAACAGACAAATAATTTCAAAAACGTATAAAAGCTTTTAAACGATAAAATAATTGTGTTTTTTACAAATGTATAGTCACGTGTACTAGTTAATCTTTTTAAAGCAATAAATAGACTAACATATGAAATTAAAATCGTTTCCGAAAATTTTCTTTACTTACGTAAGTCAATGAGTTTACATCTATGCCTAAACCAAACCAAAGTCGTTAAAAAAGTATACAGGTGAAAATCTTTGAAAACTTCTCACATTAGAACTAAAAGCTTACTCTTTTTACAACTAATTCTCTGGATCAAATTCTTTAAATTAATTCATATAATACTCATATCATGTATTTACGCGAATACTACAAAAAGCCAGAGTCAGTCCTTTCCTGTACACGGGCTCCGTAAAGTATTCGTCGTTGAGAGTTACCCACCAACCAAAATAACCCAATAAAATGCGTATACGAGTTTTACTTAATACAGTTAAATCGAATTCATTAAAGTAAGCCTTTAAACGAAGCAATTTTAGACTAAACCTTTATTTAGACTAGGCGTATATAAAGAATATTTGTTAACAATATTAAATCAAAATAACCAACATCTATAAAACGTATATGACCAATAAGTATTGGAATCAGATTGAAGAAAAAAAAAAAATAAACGCTGTATGATTCGTGTCTTTAAGCGAGTCTACTTTATCGATGTGTTTAGTGACGTCGAAAAATAAAATCCAATTTATCAACTTGTACGCGTCTGCAAAACACATTTAAGTTATCAGTCGCTTTCAGTTGTTTTTCGGTATCAAACGGAGGCTAAGGTAAAGCTTCAACGGATAACTTGCCCCGGGATTGTTGCCAAATCGGGAGTGTACTTATCTCCGCGAGGGGGTCGATTTAAAAGCGAAATCACGCAAGCACACGGGGCTATTATCGCCGGCGCGGGATTCCCAGGCCGCGGCAACTCTATGAATCTAATCCGGTGGATTTAGCCACTGATTTACAGCCAACGAGGCCGACGGGGGCGCGGTTGTTTGAAAGAAAAGTGATAATGTCTTAATCCTACCACACTCGAGTTCTCTCGCGCGCAGCCCCCTCCCAATTTTATGGTCGCCCGCTCAGACGGCACGTTTTGATTTATGATTTCAATAATTAAGAATTGTAAGGTGCAATTTGAATTTGGAAGCCGCGACGTCTGGGGGCCTGCGGGAGGCCGACGCGTGTTTGTTATTGCTACGGGGGAAAGGGTCTTGCCTCACCTTCTGTTCTCTGAATTGCAGAGCTAGTGGGGATTTTTGAAAATTAAGGAAATTTAAATGTGCGTTCACTTTTTGATAGTTCAGTAAATTTCATAGTGTGCAGTAAATAAACACAACGCTTTATAAATAAACATTTCTTTTTGATATATAAAGAAGACATACGCGAAGAAGAAAAAATCCTTCATCAAATTTAATGATTTTTTGACAACATTTTAAAGCTTATGTTTGCCACTATTGGCGAAAAATAGACAAGTAAAATAAAAATAATGTTTTCAAAAAACACACTTGAGCCGTGATAGCTCAGTGTCCGGGCGCTCGCTTTTAATTTAATATACTAGAGCAGGCTGAGTTCGATCCCCGGTGCCAGCACCAATGAAATTGTCAATTTTAAGTGCTGAATTATCACGTGCATAGCGATGAAGGAAAACATCGTGCGGAAACCTGCATATTTTCGAAATAATAACAAAAAAAATATTTCGAAGATATGTGAAGTCCGCCAATCCACAGTGGGGTTTGCCCAGCAGTGGGACATGTATAGGCTGATACTTTACTTTACTTTTTTTTAAACCTCGTTTTTTTTACAAAAAATGGAGAAGTAGAAGAAGTATTGATAAATATTTATTTACATATTATTATATTAAAATTCAGTGGTTGAATACGGATGGTTAAAAAAATTTGTACATAAAGTAATTTATTATGTAAAATACAAATGTTATTATACCGATCTCAAACTACTCAAAATATTAAATAAATTTCCACAAAACACACGTCCTCGTATTCCGTCTGTATTCCCGGCAATATAACGTTGGATGACTGTACTCGTACGTCGCACCCCAATCTTTAGGCATTACAATTAACGCGGCCCCGAGATAACCCGCCAGTCGCCACCCGCTGATAAAGGTCCGCACTACTACTAGTTTAAACCGGTTAAGCAGCCACCGCCCTCAGGGTCTATCTAATTACCCTACGCCGACACGTGAGCGTTCTCGCAAACGCAAACCCGCGCGTTACACCCCTTCACTGAGCTCCTGAAAACGTTTCACGTTTCGGACAATTTCTGTTAACGGCGACACGGACTGGGGGGGTGCGTCACGTACGTAAATGTTTGCCGGGCGTACTATCAGTATTCGGTGCTTCCGGCGGGCTCCCCGTTGCTACCTTCGTCAAAGGCCATCGATTACTATCTAAAGTAGAAATGGGCGCATATTGCACAACTTTCCGAGAACATCGGGTATCAATAAATCAGTTTCAATTGCTCCGCGCACTCACAAGTGGTTTGACGGAGATATTTTGTGAGTTAATGTATTTTCCATTACTGACCAATAAAAACGGAATGAATTGTAAACTTATGCGCATGTCATTGGACTAAACCAATTTATATTTATAACGTTGTTCGTTACGTTGCATTAAATTCAACAAAGTAATGTTTCAACATGTTTAAATTAAAGGAAATCTGTGACTTTCAAATTTCTTATATACATACAGACGGTCTAGTAAAATATATTATATTTAAAACTGAAATTTACTAACATTTAAATTAATAACTCCCCCTTATATTTGTGTGTGCGTATTTGCGCTTAAAATATCGTAAGCTTCTAGTGCTTTTTAGAACTTTCTTTGCCTGGGTGAAACTGAGTAATTTTAAAATTTTAAATTTCTTTGACATATACTTGTAAAAAACAACATTTAGTTTAAAATACTTATTAATTAAATACAATATCTTAAATAAACTATTTAAAAACTAAAAAAATTCAATCCAATGGTAAAAACATTTCTTAACGCTTAATTTACAAAATTATTTTAAATACTTATGGTATATAAACCTCTTTCCTTTGATAACAATTGTCAGTATGACGTTATTGAAAAACTTTTTGAAAGGTAGCTTGACCGCGAAACTTAAAAGGATTTTAAAAGGCGTAAACATACTATTAAATTTTTAGGTGTGCGGATAAAATATAAATACGATGCGCAATTAACACAACTGAAATGCGTGACTTGAGTTTTAAAAAAATCTTTTGTACTAGAAATCTATTATAATTTTGAAATCGCTTTATTGATCTCTAGCCAATTACAGTTACCAGTGCTGGCTCACAAAACTTTTAATGTATTTCAAATTGATTGACATCGCCCTTGTCGAAATAACAAAATTGGTCTGAAAGCTCTTGAGTGAAATGGTTTTTACGTGGGAACGATTTTTGTGCATTTAAACATAATTACGAAGTGGTTAGCAATGTGATGACGTCGGATTGGAAACGCCGAGAATCATTTCCGCGTAAAAATATTCTGATTGTGGATGGAAAATCGAATCGCAAGTACAGTACTTCTATTTTATTGGTGTTTATATTATTTTAGATGAACGGGACTGGACCTGACCGTTGCGTTTGTTCCAGGACGGCGTCGCTGAATACGCACTCGTCCTTATCGCAGATTAACAAAAGGCGGCTGGAGATCGGTGTGGACATAGAAGCGTTCCGAGTTAACGATAGGCGATTCGAGTGCATCGGTAACGAGAGCTCAATGGATGAGGAGATTATCAATAAGCGACGACGGCGCTTACTGGAGGACGAGCAAGTGGAAGAGACGGATATGCTGCAGCACGCTTTTGCAACGAAACTGCCCCACACCATGCGACAAGCGGACGAAGATGATGAATCTCTCATTCGCGAGACCCAAGCAGCGCTAATAACGTTGTCAGGCAGCTGGGGTCGAGAACAGCCATGTACGAACAGCAGTGACGAGAACGATGCCGGTAACGACTTTGAGAACCTATTCGACGACAAGAGATCCGATAAGATGCTGCCCTCCTCGCCGTCGCAATCCTCGGAAAGCGCGGAAGCTTCCCAGAGAAGTTTCGCCTTGCGCAGCTTGAACGCAGACCACAACTGCGACTCGAACGAGGAGAACAAGCCACAGACTTCAATGTCCGACAGGGAGAAAAGCGTAGACGACGACGGATACAGCAGGTTCTCGGGCCGCTACGACGGACCCAACTTCGATGAGCTCGTGGACTCCTCGTCGAACGAGCTGGAGATCGACATGTCGGACGGGCACGACGATAAATACGACGACGAATCGCTCAAGCAAAAGTCCAAGGGTGAAATGCTCGCTGTGAACAAACAGTCGCTGTACAACGCCTACAAGGCAGCGACGGCGGCACTACCGTTCTCTACGCAGTCGGCGTTCAAGCCGCCGGCCGAAGTGAAGCACAAAATCCACGGGACGACATTCCCTAGTGAGCCGTTTGGCGGCTATTCGAATGAGCACGAGAAAAGCTCGGCACCGAAGGTCTCCAAACAGTACACAGTGTTGCAACCGGCGGGTGCCGGCTCCAGAGCAGCCACAGCCCTTCAGGAGGCGCGCGCTCTACCATCCACTCAGCCAGCGCGGGAGTCACGGACCTTCTCGTCGCTTTCACCGCCACCGCCTCGAGGTGCGTCACTGTATGGTGACCGTATTAAATCATCCCCAGCGAACACAACGCTCCATTGCTCCTGTGCTACCGAACCAACTTGTTTCAATGTCAACAAATAATCGACTGACATAAGGAAACTTTAAACGGCAGGGCTCGTCATGTTCGGCAAGTCTTCGTATATTTTACAAACAATCGTCACTTGAACAGTAAATTAGGGTCAGACAAAAACAACAAAACTGTGTTATTATTCGAATCATTCCGCTTGACTGATTTGTTGTTATTCAAACGAAACCGTTAACAACTCATCCCTCATTTGTAAAATGCCTCTCGTAATTTAGCCGGCGTCCGTAGCAGTACGAGGCTCCACCTACGTCGCTACGTAACGTGAATGTAGTACCTAAATGTTTTCCTCGTATTGCCGGATGCCCGGGTTGACGTCAGAGCTACGTGCAATAAAAACGGGTCAGGGCAGGCGGTGGGCGGGGCGTGGGGCGCCGCCCTGCGCGGCTTGCGAAAGAAAAATCGCAACTTGTGCCACGCAGCCACTCTACGATCTTTATTTTTTCTTCGGAGTTTTCCGGCGGGGTGGGCGCTACGCTGGGCGGGGCTGCGCAGGTACGCCCCGCCGACACGCCCGGCCTCATCGATCGCGCCCCCACGCCCCCCGGCGGGCGATTGAGAAAATTCTAATTCGTGCACCGGTCGATTTGTTCACAGAAGGCAACAAGTGTCCCACTCCTGGATGCAATGGGCAGGGCCACGTCACCGGACTCTACACGCACCACCGGAGGTGAGTAGCGACGATGCATGCGTTACAGTGAAACAAAACTTTCGAAAAGATAGGCTATATGCGTAATGCCAACGTTGAAGCGGCCGCCGTAACACGTGAGCACCGTCTTTCTTATGATTATCGATGAAAAAATCGCTATGTAAGATATTGATCAAATATACTGACATTGTATTTCTTCCCCTCAGTCTGTCAGGATGCCCAAGAAAGGATAAAGTCACCCCAGAGAGTGAGTAATGCAGAAAATACATATCGTTAGAGCTTTTTCAGCGTTTTATTTTAGTTTTCAGTGTTCACGGTACTGTACTGTACGGTTCAGTGTACTGTTAAATCATCAATAGTATAAATGTTATTTCGCCTTACACGCTGGTGTAGTGAGAAAATGGAAATTAACATCTGCACAACACATTCACTTAATGTCCTTAAAACAGTACCGAACACTTTTTAAGCAAAATATTTTTTTTGCATTTTAGTGATTTATTTTTGTCGCCGTAGTATTTAGATATATTATGTTACTTAATAGCAGCTAAAATTTAATTCCTTATGTTATTTCGAGCTTATATTATAATTTTTATTAAAAATAATAATTCTATTGCAATTCTGTTAAGTGTATATTGTATGGCGTATACAAATATTTACTAGAAATAAAATTATTACGTTACTGTATAAACAAATTATAATAAAATTGATTAAAGTGTTATATTTTATCCTCCTTTATTATATTAGTGTGGTAGAAAACAGTATAGTGTATTTTATAAAATATTAACTTGATCTTGCAATATAAACTGAGGGTTGCTGAAAGCAAGGTCTATTTTAAAACTTCAGAATTAATATGTTTGGAAACAAACTTATGTTTATTGCCTCTACTTATTAGATACTTATTAGATAATGTAAAGATAACAAAAGTTTGCAGCTTAGCTACAGAGTAGCTCTTGTTAATGTTTGCATTAACAAGGTAACAGCTTAAATAATAAACCAAGAAATTAAATGAGTTTAAGTTGACCTCCTAATTTAAATGCCCCATAACTGTTTGTTCACAACATGAATTTGTATAAAACACAAACAACACGAATTAGAGTGCATAATTCATAATAAATTCAATAAAAAAAATATGACCGCAGTAATTAAATATTCTACAGCCAATACTTATTATCTTGCTTCCAAAAAATTACACGTAAACATGGACAAACGCCCATGTCAATAAATAATCCGCAAGTTGTACTTGGCCTGAAACCCATTAGGTTATGCAACAATCATTAGCTGTCTAGTTCAGTTTATTTAAAAAGAAAACAACCCAAAACACACGAGCGTCACAACATATCCCACGTAACTGGACAAAGGTCAAGTTAGGGCCCGTTGGATTATCAAATTAGATTTGGTAAAGGAAACATTATTTCGACCGTTTTCAAACAGTTTTGGCGCTCCACGAGACAATCTTAAAGTGCCCGACGCCGGGCTGCAACGGACGCGGCCACGTGAGCTCTAACCGGAGCACTCATCGGTCCCTATCCGGTTGCCCCACCGCCGCCGCCCGAAAAGCGGCCGCCCGCTCGCAGAGAGCCAGACCCGCAGGTACATACGCAGGTCAGGACCGAAAGTGAAAATTATTTAATTCTATTATGTATTTGCCACTGTCATAAAGTTTTAGAAGTTAGTAGCCGCATGCAGCCATAAAACATAACGATATGCTACACTGATGACTGAGCCCAAGCGTCCGTGTATCTTAAGTACATATCATTTAAACTTTTATAGTGCTAATCTCTGCATTTAAGACGAATAAATTAAATTTGTAGAAAAATGGACGAAAAGTGTCACGCCGCCGCGGGAATTGAACCCGCGTCTTTCGAATACTACAGAATTGTGAAAAGCTTAGGTCAGCATCTGGCGGATTAGTTATTAGTAATCTGTATTTTTTAAATCTTTGTTAAATGTATAATTATTTAGTATCTTAAATTAATGCAAATACATTGTTTAATTTAATTGTCTCAAACGATACTTCATCGTCTGTGCAGTGCCAGCGTTACCGCACACATCGATAAGCGCCACGGCCGACTCGAGCACGTCCCGCGACCGCGAAAGAGAGCGTGAACGAGAACGCGAACGTGAACGGGAGCGCGAACGCGAACGAGAACGAGAACGAGAACGCGAACGCGAGCTCGAACTAGAGCGCGAACGCGAGCTCGAGTTGGAGCGTGAACTCGAGCGCGAGCGCGAGCTCGAACGCGAGCGCGAACTTGAGCGCGAGCTCGAACGCGAACGCGAGCGCGAGCTCGAGCTCGAACGCGTACGAGCGGCCTCGCCGCCTGGTCCCCCCGTGAAGAGCGAAGCGCCCGAGCTGCTCGTGCCGAAGCGCGAGGCCGCCGAGCCCGAGCGCGACTCCCCCGCTGGGATGGAGACGCGCCACGCCGGCTACGGCGCGCCGCCGGACCAGCGCTCGCCCTACGAGCGGCCACCTGACGACCACGTGCGGTCCTACAGGTCCAGGTGACGAGTCTATATAGCATAGATTCTGCATAGATTCCAAGCCTTTTTTCTCACAGACCACTTTCAAAGTTTAGCTGGTTCCGGTGTATCCCCTACAGCTACATTTCTGCAAAATCCCATCAATGTAAATTAACTCGACAAAAAATGTAAATATTAGATCTAATGTAGACCCCCCTGTATACTACTCAACTCTCCCTGACATATGCATTTATGAGATAATTTTCTATGTATCCTACTCAAAATTTATTGCTTCCAGATCCACCAGCTTATGTTATAACATGTTATCTATCATAAGTTGTTGTTCAAATATTATTACACAGATAGGTTGTAGGTTGTTATTTATTATTACACAGATAGGTTGTAGCTTACGACAGTCTTATTGTGAAAAATTGAACAAAACGTCTTTTACCCTACTACGAATACGAAGCAATCTTAGTGAAAATCCACCTATATCGGAATGCTATAAGCCGACATTTTGTACCGTATAGTTTTCAATTTCCTGGTTTTATCTTACGAATCCTCCTTTGTGCAGTCAAATGAACGAGCCGCGCTACAGCTACGAGCCACGGTGCTACGAAGGCACGCCGGCCTTCGAGCGCTACGACCCGGCGCAGTGTCCCCAACGCCCATATGGCTGGGAGGAGGAACGCTACCACGACCCGCACTTGCCGACGCCGATGAAAACGGACCAATCCGAGCAGGAGACCAACTCCGGGCCGATATATCCTAGGTATTATGATAAAAACACCCATCTCTACATCTTAGAATACTTAATTTTCGTCGAGATAAATACAAAACTCTGAATAATGCCTGATATGTGGTAAACGAGGCCCACCTAGCGTGTACCCCATCCCTAATATCGCGTTGTGTCGCGAACGAGTGCGTAAACCTGTCCCGTCGGTCCAGACCGATGTACCACTACGAGGCCGGTAGCGGAGTAGGGGGTGTCGGTGGGGTCGGCGCGATGGCGCCAGGCGTGCCACCCGGTTTCTCTGCGATCAATCTGTCCGTGAAGATCGCTGCGGCGCAGGCCCAGCGGCCGCGAAGCCCCACGCCGCGGGACCCACGCGACCCCCGCCCAGCCATAGACCTCTCCACATCCAGTGGCAGTCCACAGGTGAGAGCGCACCCGCGAACCTTCCTCGACCGCTTATGTTGAACTGATCCGTTTGCCCGTACCAACGGTCCATTGACACCGATTCTAAAAGCCCATTTTTATAACAGGGTCCGTACGCGTCCCCGGTGTACACAAGCGCCGGTGGCGGCAGCGGGGGCGCCCGAGGCAGCCCGCAGCCGGGCGCTTCGCCCCAACTCACGGCCAGCCCCCAGGTGCCCAGTCCGCAGGGTCAGACCCTCGACCTTAGTGTGTCCCGTTTACCACATAGGTGAGGCATATTGAGATAGGATTGTTTTCACGTTATCGCTACTATCCCAACTGCCCTGGATTTTTATTATGTTTAATTTTTATTTTTACAACTTTTTTAATATATAATTTGTCAACAGTCGCGGTTTTCCCGGTGCCGTGTCATATAGCCGAGAATCAACACCGGACAGTGGCGGCAGCCATCCGTATTTAGAAGCATATCATAGAGATGCCGCTGGTAAATATATATATGCATTATATATATTGCATGCAATTCATACATGAATTGAAAAACACGTCTGAAAGCTTTCAATGTTTATTTCGTTTAAGGCAAATCGGTTAATGTAAATAAAAAAGCGACGTTATCATAGTTGTAAACATACTCTCGATTTATTTCTTCAGTAACCGAACTATAATTATATTTATGAATAACTGAAATTAACCCTTTTAGCGTTCGTTTCTCTTATTTGTTATCGTTAATGTTAACAGTTTTTAGCTAAGAACAAAACGGGTAAGAATATATTCTAATATTCTGTAGCCTCACAAGCTTTAACGTGCATAATAGTCGGATATTGTCTGTTTTACTCGAGGGATGTGAACCTCTATACAAGTTGTTGCCGTAAAACAACTCGCACAAATTAAAACATTACCGACGCAATCACAACAGCCTGCAGCGTGCGTCGCTACCGCAAATATAGCGGGTGGAGAAACGTTGCCAATCTAAGAGATAAGGCGCTATAACACAATAACTGTTTTTACGGTGTTCATATTTTTTAAGGAATAGTTTGAAGAATAAATAAAGAAGTAATCATCCAAATACACCAATGAATGTATTGGATGATTATCTCTTTATTTTAAATTATAAAATTACAAAGATTTTATGAAAAATATAAGTATAAAGTAACTACCGCAAACAACCTAATATTATTTTCATCGTAAGAATTGTTTGACTTTATCTTATAATAAAAACTTAGAATTTGTTAAATATTGACATTAGGTATTGGGTAATACATTTTGTGGAGCGTAAATGATTTCTTTCAAATACTACTAAACACTTGTTTAATAAGCAGTATTTAATAGGCAAATACTACATAGACAAAAGGTAATTTTACATCGCATTCATTGTGTCGTGGTTCGTCCAACATTGAATAATTATTCGATTGATTGGCTTGGTGTAGTAATGATTTCACACTACGCCTGATTTTGCGACAGGATACGGAGGTGTTAGTCCGCATCCGGTGGCGGGCTACGGTCTAGGCCAGCCGGATTACGCGGCTGCGGCGGCCGCAGCGGGCTACGGGGGCTATCAGTACCAATGCGGAGCATACCCCCCTCCGCCGGCGTACCCACCACACGCGCCCCCCTATTCGCCCCCATGCTATATGCCACCGCCCCACGCTCCTCATGACAAGCCAAAGGACAGCAGGTGAATATGCTATTTATGACTAGGTTTTCCAGGTCAAGCAACCAGATGAGATTTTATCGTATCCTTCTACCCATTTCCATAAATAAACAGTAAGATTGGATAGAAAACCTAGTTCTTTTTACACTATTAATCATATGTTTTGTAGGAAATGTGATAATATTTCCGTTACACCCATAATTAAAAACAGTATAGTTGAGCAGTTTCAATACTTAATAACGGATCTATCATCGTTTAATAATTTTCAAATGGATCTGCATTTGAAAATTAGCAACTAGGTTATTTAGATATATGAGCAGAGAATAGTTCAGAACTTGATTCGATTATTTATGTCACCACTTTAGCAGTGGCTGACATAAATGAGTATCAATGCACAAAACTAGTAATTGTTCTCAAGTCATACATATGTACATATAAAGTAGCCAATTCAAAAACGAATACAGAAACAAATAAATATATTAAGCGAAGTTAAACCAAGCATTCAATGTTGATTTATTTGTCACATACGGTAATAACACTTCAGTAAGATTCAGCAATTGTAAGCCAGTTTCATATTAAGTTAAATCATTGAAACTTCAAAAGTTAACGTTCTATAAGTATGTACTTATTCATACACTGCCAGTAATGAAAACAATTTTGTTTACCTAATTCAAATTATTTTATTAAATATAAACATTTTCAATTACATTAAACTTACATAGTAAAAGATTATAAAAACAATTTTTCGTTAGAACCGTTTCCAAAATCGAGAATTATAATAAATCATTAAAATAGAAATTGCTTAAAGTTCGGATACTCGTAACAGTATTATTAAACGTGATATCTTTCGATGAAAAAAATTATATCATCATATCAAATGTTATTTAACCATCTAATGTATGTTTTTCTTATGCCAGTCGTATATACCTAAATTCGTCAATTTGAAATCCTAAAATAGGTAGCGAAAGTGTAAATAAGTGTAAAACACCTTCCGTGTTACGCTGTTGTCTTAAAGTGTGGGATTTCAATTGTAGCCAAGTCACATTCAGTATTCAGTGGATCAGTCTAAATATACCGGCGCCCGCGCTGGCGGGCACCCGCGCGTGCGTGAAAACTGATAAATAAAGATAAGATATAAACAAAAACCTGCAACAAGATACAGATATGCGGCGCAACAGGTGAGATAATTTATTATACATTTATCGTCCCGCGATCCTAAATTCCGGTTAGATTGACAACGGTGCCTCTTTTGCTATAAACCATGCTAGAAATGCGGGCTGTGATAAATTTGTAAACATCTGCGTGAAGTATTACGTAGACAGTGATCGCGCTCCATATTACACAACACGTTTGTGTGTCAATGGGGCGTTGATATGAATATACGAAAAGAGACTATTCGGTTCCGATAACTACCAAGTGAATATGCGTTAGTTGTATTATTATTTTATCCTGTTTGTTATTATTATTTCACGGTAGCTGTCCCCGCGACGACTATTACGGGAAATCGTGTTGCCGGACACGGGAGCCGAGAGAGCTAATCCAGTGTCCGGTGGAGAGGTGCGATGGCTCAGGTCACGTGTCCGGAAACTTCGCGACGCACCGCAGGCAAGCGATAATATTCGCGCGCACACACCAAACGCGAATATTCGCCTTTGCGGTGCGATAGTCGCGGTACCGTGTCGTTTCGCCCCCGAACGGCAATTTGCCCGTTTCCGACCAACGCCAACGGGCTGGCTTGACGGCGCAATCCGAGGTTCCTATGTGCACTAACCGCATGACGAAACGTTGACGTGAAATCGTTGCAAGAATCGAAACTGCTTCCAGTGTTCGCCGCTCGAAACGCTAACATATTCCCACATTATCGATGTTATACAGTACGTGTAACTCGTATTTGGTGTGTACTGTTTAACATATAATTGTATTTAATTCACGCTTTTATTTGGAACCTCTATTAACATGGAAATAATTTATTATGGCACGTGAATCATATATAACAGCCATGAAATATGAAAATTTAATACGGCTTGAAGTCTGTAGCGAATTTTCAACTATACACTTTTAAGTAACTTTAAACTTACAACAAATGAACGATCGAATTAAATTTTATTGTTATAGTAAACGATATAATAATTTTATTTTCTATACACGAGCTACATCTACTTTTCGTTTAATAATGAAGTAAAGATTCTATCAATCTTATCTTCTATCTTCTATCTAATCTTCTATCTTCTATCAATTCTAATGAAAGTACAACACTTTTATGAAGTAATAAATGAACATTAAATGAAATCGAATCTTCATTATAAAAAGTGTGTACTAATAAAAGCAAGATGGAGTTGCGCTCTCTCCATATGTTTACGCTCGACGGTTTATTTTTACACTCATTTTTGATAATTTTTATTAAATATAAAGCGATTTAATAATTAGTGATGTTTTACATTCGATTTAATATCAAAAATATCTTAAAATTACTTCAACTTTTAACTATAAAAGTTAATGACTTCCTATTGACATAACATTACTTTTTTTTTTTACCACAAGGAAATGGTTTAATCATAAAACCAAAGCAAATACTGAAGCCGGCACCAATTTTTATACGTATTTCAATTTGTGATGTAATTAATGTCCGACATTCAATATTGCTTCATTCGTTAAAAAAAAACACGGTAAGCGGACGTGCAGGAATAAAGTAGCCAAAATATTTTTACTGGTAGTCAGCAGTTACGTAGGGCGGCCATACGTTATGCAGTCTAGAACATTTACTATACATTATAAAGAAAATGTTTATGGATTTCGAAAAGGAACAAGCATGGCGTTACACACTCGGGGCTGTCGCAAGAAATCTGAGAATAAATATCTTATTAGCCTGATATTTTGAGTAGTAATATGGAGTATAATAATTCTATACACTAAAAGCTCATACCTCAAGTAGCCAAGAAAATGGTATTTATTTCATCATACTTAATACCATTATATCTTGTGGTAATAAAAAATTTACGTAAAATTACTTATGTTTTTAAATAATATTTTTAAGATTCTTAGAATGGGTACAATATGAATAATGTAAGTAAGGAGGCTGTCTGGTTCGTAATATGCACCATCATTTAATAAGTAATTCAGCAAGTGACTTGAATAGACTTCTGCGCCACGGGTCATTCGACCCAGTAAAAGTATTTGTATAATCTATAGATAAATGTTTCAGATCTAGGTTCTATACAATACAATATTACACCTCCTATATTATATCCTCTAACTATCTACAATACAATACTATCGTATGGTAATATAGTGCTAATAGTAAAATTGAGTACAATAAAAATTTTCACCTATTTATGAGTACACTAATAATACTAACGTACTAACAATAACGGTAACACATATTAACGTTTTTTTTTTTTAATTTATTGATTCATTGTATTTGATACTTCTTGTTGAATGCTACTGTAATGTTGTTTTATGTAACAAATTTGTTGTCTTTTGTAATTTTTTTGCAAAACATAAGGCTCTAAATGGATTACCTTGACACGATCTGATTCCAGTTGTTATTAATCTTCCGTAAAGCTCGCGACTATATTATTTAACACGACCATATGTTAGATTATCATTAGTGGAAGACATTTGTAGGAGCTTTTATTGTTGCGAAGCTCTACAACTTCACACCAGATCAGTCTGATGTCTGTATGATTTAGATGAGTTTATACTTTCGCATTTCGTCCGCTGAGGTAACCATCCTATATGTTAGGAACGCAATTGGGTGATAAATAGATGTTGCTATTGTGGATGAACATAGCCCGTAGTAATCCCTGATTGCTTGAACTGTTTGTTTGTCCATCTCTCAAAAACACATTATGACATATTGGGTGCAAATATGGGATAAGAGTCGACGACAAATCCTCTACCTATGTACTACGTAGAGAGAAATTAACTCTTATTCAGTAGGGGCAATTGGCGTGAAGTTATGTAATTCACCTAAAATCTTTCAGCTACCAAACTAAAACATTTTCGTATTATCATCATATCAACCGTAGGACGTCCATTGCTGAACATAGGCCTATGCTGAACATACGATATATTGAAGTAAAACTTCTTTAGGCGCGACTAGGGAGTAACTCAGATTTTTTTTGACGGAAGTAACGCTTTTTCTGACGAAAGTAACGTCTTAAGTATATGTCATATTTTTAAAATATGACATATACTTATGACGTTACTAAATATTTAATCATTTCAGTGATATATGCCAAAGAAGTTTTACTTCAATCGCGCGTAAAGGTTACACGCACACACTTTTTTTTATATATATATTATTCATACGTCTAGTGCTTGTTTTCCGTCCCACCCGGTGGTAAGTGAATGACTTTCTAAGTAGCAAACGCGCTAGTGTAGAATACGATTCTTGTCTTGACTTCAATCACGTTAAAATCAATCCGAGAGACAGAAGCCAGGATTTCCTTCCACTAATTTGCCATACGCATCACTTACTCGAACTCTTAGTCCGTTCGTACAAAAGGCCGCGGCCCAGTCGAAGGCAAACTCGTACATTCCCAGATGCGATACGTTGCGTCGTCACGCCATTGTAAGCAGTTTGTATATGTGCAGTCTGTCGGGATGCCCGCGCGCCGATCGTTCTCAACTGCAGCCGCACTCTCAAGAGCTGAAGTGTCCCACGCCCGGTTGCGATGGCTCCGGGCACGTCACGGGCAACTACTCCTCGCACCGCTCGCTTTCCGGGTGCCCTAGAGCCAACAAGCCGAAGAGCAAGCCTAGGGACGGCCAAGACTCTGAACCACTCAGGTAATAGGTGCCGGTGTTCGCCAATCGAACGGCAGACGCTGTTCTATTTTCGAAAAGCTGGGAATACTAAGTGTTGCTTGTTCTCTGTTCAAGCGCTCGATGGTGACGCGGCAACTAAATTGGTCCGTTTATTCAGTTTAGTAGCTGCCTTTCGTTAGCTTTAAGGCTTGGAATGCCTGAATACATTGCACGGGCCTTAGTAAAGATATTTTATCTAATTATATAAATATTCTATGGCATGGCACACAAAAGTCTTGTTCTCAAGTTACTGCGATTGTCCCGTGATGTTACTGCTACTCTATATAATGCGTAACTCTCTCGGCGTAATATTGATGGTGTTTAGACTTACTTAAAATTGTCTGAACAAAGACAATTTATGAATTATTTAATTTCTATGACTGCCTAATTCATCATCATTTAGTTTATTTTCAATAAAAAATAGTACTAACTGAATTTTAAAGATAATACGTAAATATCATTTATGTTAAAATAAGTTTATTACGAACTCTAGAAATTATAAAATAATCCCGTATTGTATAGTTGACTTTAAGTGTCTGTTGCCCGCAAATCTGTATTATTGTTGAAAGTGAGTTATGTTGTAATTTATTACATAATTTTTGCAACTAATTACATATTAATTTAAACCGACTGCATTTATAATAAATTCAGTATTAGTAGAACTAAAAGGTTGTATAAATTACCAGTTTTCTAGATATTGAAACTACCTACCGCATTCCAGAAATGTCTAAATGGCCTTAAACGGAACTCGTTTAACGGCAACAAACAATTATTGAACATTTTTTGTATAAACAAATATACGTACAAGTAAACGGAAAACAGTCTACATAATTATACATATATGAATCTTTTGTATTATTCTCTTGAGCTCAGTAATTTTTGTAATAAAAAAGTTTCCTTTTTTTAACAAAAAGGTAATAGTATCATTATCTTTCGTACACAGAACGATAAATGCCTGCAACGTAGGTCCTATGTGTTCGTTAAATATATATTTAAAAACAGATTTATATTAACAGTTCTCAAAACGTTTACGAATTTTGTCACTTATTTGCACGCTGCTTAGATGCCCAATACCGGGCTGTGACGGATCCGGACACGCCACAGGGAAATTCTTGTCTCATCGAAGGTAAGGTATCGCGTACTGAGTAGATTTATAAACTTATTATGTAGCGAGTGATCAATGGATACCCGACGACCACAAAAAAATACTAAGAACTAATTATGTATTGCTTTGTCAGCGCCTCCGGATGTCCCATCGCGAACAGAAACAAGATGCGGGTACTGGAGAGCGGGGGCACTGTGGAACAGCACAAAGCGGCTGTGGCCGCGGCCGCTTCCGCCATAAAGTTCGACGGCGTCAACTGCCCCACACCGGGCTGCGACGGCTCCGGCCACATAAACGGCTCCTTTCTGACCCACCGCTCCCTTTCCGGGTGCCCAGTCGCCGGCTCGGCGACGCCCACGCCGCAGCCGAAGAAGCCAAAATACCCCGACGACATCACGCCCCTATACCCGAAACCCTATTCAGGTAAGACAACAACAGAACTCAGTCGCACACCGAACGCTTTACACGATCACACGCGAATGTTTAATTCAAGATGTCCCGTTCGACCACCGCAGGTATGGAGATGAACATGCAGACTGGCAACGGGGAGGACCTTATGACCCTTGAGCAAGAAATCACCGAGCTGCAGCGGGAGAACGCCCGCGTCGAGTCCCAGATGATCCGTCTCAAGTCGGACATCAACGCCATGGAAACGCACCTGAGTCATGGAGAGAGAGTGAGTTGTCGCAATGTTAGCTCCGAACTACGGGTGATCGATGAATCGTTGACGTTCCATGATAATCATTCAATGGTCAAAACTTTCGTAGATGGTACTGTCATGGCTACAAACATCCAGCTTTGAGTGCTACTAACACCTTAAGAACATATTTTGTGAGTACCGTCATAACTATTCGATAACACCGTCGTGAAACAAATTCAACAAAATGTCTACTTAACGATAGCTCGGGCGAAATGAACAATGTTGTCTTCCACTCTTTGCAGGAGAACCAGCTCATATCTCAGCGCAACAACAACCTCAACGAGTACTACGAGAGCCTGCGTAATAACGTGATCACGTTACTGGAGCACGTGAGAATTCCCGGCGGCGGGACGGCGCCCGTGACGAACGCCGGGGGCGGGCCCGGGGCGCCGCCGCCGCCGGGCCCCGGTGAGAAGCCGGCCCACGACAACTTCGACTCGTACCTCACGAAGCTGCAAACCCTCTGCTCGCCGGACGGCTACTGCCCCGACGAGAACCGGCCCATCTACGAGACCGTGAAAAACGCGCTCCAAGACTTCACAGTGCTCCCAACACCCATTTAAGGTTCAACAAGCGCCGCCGAATCTGAGCGACAGTGAACGAGCTGTCCGGTAGAGATCGGCGGAGCTTATGCGCCATACGACTCAAAGGACTTAGTGCAATTGATGTTGTTTTTTTTTTTATTTCGCGGATGGAACCTCTCCATTTATCGAATATAGAACTATTACCGAAGGTTGAAAATATTGTTTATGGAAATCGGTTCAATACAGTGACTATTAAGTGTTTAAGACTTTGTATAGTGTGCCCGAATACATCGGATTTTTTCGGAGTCTAATATGTGTTCTACTTAGGTGACAATGTTTTGTAAACCATTGTATACGATGTGTGACTTCTCTACGACATCACACAACAATATAAAATCTTTCGAATATTATAAAAAAAAAAAGAAAGATATAATATAAAACTTAAATAAATTTTAAACACTGTTACTCGTATATGCTTAAAATTAACTATTCGTTAGGAAGAAATATTATACATGTAAATGATTCAGCCACATAAATATTAACATAGCTGTCATATTTCGACTATGTAAATATTGTACCTAATTCGAAACGAATAAAGATTATCTTACTGTCGATGGGCTATTCTGACAGATAGGACTTAATAGAAAATACATTATGTTCGGCCAGAAGAAATTAAATAGTTTTTAAGGTGATATGTTTACAAAACTATACGATGTAATACTGGGAATGTGCCAAAAGCTTCAATCACAGCAGCTCCCTTTGCTGGTTTATTATGACTAAAGTGCAGAGGTAGAGATATACACAAACCAAATTAATGAACTCCTTAGAAAACTCTCTAGTCAGTTTTGTAAATAAAATTGTGAATACATAGTCGTCACGTCAAATGGACGTTTTTATTTATATTAGATAATAATGAGATCTCATTAGGTCATGTAAGGTAAATAATTTAGTCATTAATTGATAACCAATTTTGGATATAAATAAAAACTTTCTTTGTTAGTCTAGTTTCACTTTGCTGTGATTATGTTACATGTTACTTATTTATTGTTACCTTTACGGAATGTGATAGCTTAATCGTGGCGAGTTAATGTTGATTTGCAATGTTTTCAGTTGATATGCTCCACACACGTGTGCAATAATGTTTGTATCTGTATCGATTTCGAAACGTTTTGTTATATCTAAATTATTTAAAGCTTAAAATTCTCTCTTCAAATCACAGCTGTACACGAATCGGTAATTATATACGCATTTAAATACTAAACCTATTACTATGTTACTACTCTGATTGTCATATACGTTTCTGTAAAATATGTGTTGTTAAAGAGAATAAAAATAATTAAATACCAAGATATGGTGCACTTTTCTCTGCCCCAGACTTTGACAACAGTATACCGTGTTGTGGATTTAATCCCCGCCAGGTTCAAAAATATGTGTGATCCACAAAGAGTAGTTAATTTGTAGAGTCGTGGCAAGTTTCTTGTGAAAAGAAGAAGTATCTGTGAATACCGAAGTTTAAAGTGTGTAGGTTCTCGCCGCAGTAAACTCTGGAAGCTTTCAACAAATCGGATAAATCTCAGATCCTCGCAAAAATTCAAGGATTTCGAATAATTCGCGAAATTGCTGAAAAAAAGAAATGTTTAAATATAAAATAGAAAACATGGTTGGCGGTGGCTTCTGGTCCCAGAAATCTAAATAAAAACTGATTGAACTTTGAAATAGCCTAAGCTGCTGGACCCCTTTAAAATTTGCCTCACGACCTGAATACGGCCTATTAATTTGAAAGTTATTAATTTAACCATTAAGGTATAAAATAAAATTATATATATTTAAAAGATGTTTCACTATCAAGAAATAAAAATAAAAAGATAAATTCATCAGGATAGTTTTATTTCCTATAAATTTATCGCATAAATTGCCTTTAAACTGCTTTATCATTTTCCTATTCATGAAACAACATATTAGAAAAAAAATAAAGTTATGTGCGCGTAAATGTCACCTTCGATTTTTGTCGCTCAACTGGCACCCTGTACTATATACGGAACACTGTATTACATTGCTTTGTTGATAAAAAGATATAAAATAGATAGCTATTCAAATCCGTTCAAAAGTTTCCTTAATCTATCCCACAACCCCTCGGACCGTCCATTTAAGATGGCGCTGTCCTATAAACGTTTTAGACAAATCCAAAAAAATACATAATTTAAAAAAATATATTTTCATACAAACTAATGCTGAAGGGCCTCTGGGCCCCGACGAGCCCACACATGTACCCGCCGACGAACACCAAGTTCCGGATGTCCTAAACATCGTGCTCTGCCACAAAGTGCCATGCCCTGTCCAGGTAGAGGTGCTGTGCGATGCGGACACGCACCTCCCTGTGCTCATCGTGCTGAGTCTGGCTGCGGACTCACTGGCTCCCAGAGGCCCGAGGTACAGGACCGATTGGGGAGCCTATTCGAGAGCTATGTCCGACTTTAGTTTCGGTGCACCCATCTCAACCGCGGAGGACGTGGAGCAGGCCGCGCGCAAAATCACCTGTAAAATACAGGAAGAATTGCGCGCGGCGACCAAGGCGGTGCCACAGGTGCACCGAAAAGACACACTCCCGCGCAGGCTCCTCGATCGGCTGCACGAGAAGAGGGAGCTCAGGAGGTTGTGGGCACGCACCCGCTGCCCACGAGTGAAGACACGTCTAAACCGGGTCAAGGATGAGCTGTCGGCAGCCATCAAGGCGTACAGGGGTGAGGGGTGGGAGCGCCGCATTGAGCAGGCCTCCGAGTCGCAGACCTCCCTTCACCACCTTAACCGGCAGCTCAGCCGAACACCACAACCCATCTGTCCACTCGTGGGCAGAGACGGACGTAAGCACGTTGCAGCCCAAGACAGGGCTGACATTCTGGCAGAGCACTTAGAAGGGCAATTCGTGCCCAATACATCGGCCCCAGGCGCCATTGCGTTCCACCAAGAAGTGGAGCGGCACATACAGGTGTTCCTGTCGGAGCCGGTGCCACGGCTGGATGGTGGACTTTTTATCACTCTGGCCGAAGTGCATAGAGCCGCGAGTCATCTCGCGCTCCGCAAGGCACCCGGCACCGACGGAATCAACAACGTTGGCGATAAGGCAACTACCAAAAAGGGGGTTAGTGGCGCTGTGCCGCCTGTACAATGGTGTACTGCGCACGGCGCACTTCCCCTCTGAGTGGAAAACCGGCAAGATCATCGTCCTGCCGAAACCGGGCAAGGACCGACGACTTTCGGGGAGCTACCGACCAATCACGCTACTGCCGCACGTAGCCAAACTATTCGAACGGTTGCTGCTGCGGAGAATAGTTCCCTGCATTGAGCTACGCAGGGAACAGTTCGGTTTCCGCAGCGGCCACTCCACCACGGCGCAGCTGGCCCGAGTGCTGCACTATCTTGCGGCCCAGTACAACCGGGGCCGCATCTGTCTGGGGGTCCTTCTCGACATGGAGAAGGCCTTCGACAGAGTGTGGCCCGAGGGCCTACTGCATAAGCTGTTACTGCATAAGCTGTTGAAGAATACCACCACCCACCGCGCGCTCGTGCGGTTAGTAGCGTCGTTTCTCCGGGACCGGAAGTTCGTCGTACACGTCGAGGGAGCCGACTCGGCGGTACGTTGTATTAAAGCCGGTGTACCACAAGGTAGTTGTCTGTCGCCACACCTGTATGCGGTGTACACGGACGACATTCCCACCTTGGAGCAAAACGCCTCCGACTGGGATGAAGACGTACTGTTGGCCCTGTACGCGGACGACAGTGCGCTCTTCACGTCTTCTCACGTCGCGGCGATTGCGGCGAGGAAAATGCAGCGCCAACTGGACGTGCTGCCCGAGTGGCTTGATAAATGGCGGATGTCTGTCAACGTCGACAAGACATCCGCCATATACATCCGCCGCATTAAAAACCAACCCACGCTTGAGCTGCGAGGTCAAGCGATTACCAACACGAACACCATTAGGTACCTTGGATGCCGGATAGACCGCTCGCTGTGCATGGCTCCCCAGGTCGGACACGCCGTCCGACAAGCCAGAGCAGCTCGAGCCATGCTGTACCCTATCCTGGCGTCCAGGCTACCTATTAAGACCAAGATCGGCGTTTACAAAACGTACGTCCATTCGCGCTTGACCTACGCCGCTCCGGCGTGGTACGGTCTGGTCTCCGCCTCGCAAAGGCGCAGGCTCCAGGCGCAGCAGAACCTCGCCCTTCGAGTGATCGTGGGGGCCGGGCGTTACGTCAGGAACGACGTAATAGCTCGAGACCTGAGGATAGAATCCATCGAGGAGGTTGTGGTCCGGATGGCCCGCGCATGTACGACAGGGCCGACAACGGGCCACACCCACACCTGCAAAACATCGCACCCCTCCACGCCCGTCCTCCTGACGGGCGCCCGCTCCCACGAGAGCTACTGCGGTCGGAGGCCACTGGGGAGCCGGACCCGACCGTACTTCCGCCGCTGAGAAGACGATGTCGTCCACGCGTTACACCGCGTGTAACGCTGTACACCTGCCAGTGCCGCTACCGCGGTCAGAGTTAGGGATGGCCGTTGTTCATCCTTACCACCGACCAGCCTTCGCTGGTCGAGATTATGTCCGAGGCATGGGGGTTGCCCCGATACTCGCTCAAAAGCAGGCCTCGCGCCAGCTTCGTACATCATCACAAACTAATTAAATAAAAAAGAAACAAAATTTGTAACACCTATACAACTACAACCAACTGATTCATACATTGAAAGACTTTCATTCGTTGCCACAACGTCGCATTTCAAGTCTCTCCTACTAACATATGTTTCATTTCTTTCAGTTTCCAAAACTATTTGTTAAGGAAAATTTAATAACTCTGTAAATATTGATGTATTAAAAAAGTAAATGTTTAACACAATTTTAAAAAGTTAAAAGTAAAGTTGATGACTCGTGACCCAAGTGCCAAGGTATTGTCTTCGGCGTCAGGGGTCGTGGGTTCGATTACCACACAGGACAACGAAAAGAAAGAAAGAAAGTCCTCTCTATGTGTCTTAATTTATGGTCGCGGTAGTAGTCACATTTCATAATAATGAACCGATGTTCCCCACATGGTTACAAATATTAAAAAAAATTTAACACATTCATACAACACATACTGACAGACAAGTTCTTTGAGTTTTTTTACATATAGCAGTTCAAAATACCAATACTCACGAATATAAAACACCCAAAATTGTAAGTGTACACTAAAATCGATTACTATTAACGAAGTTAATAGTAATCGATTTTAGTCTCGATTTTAGTCTCGACTCTTGAAAATAAAATATCAACGATAACAAGAGAAAAATATATCGACGATGTATATCGTTTCTTCTTCTTATCGTTTCTTCTTCTTCTTCTTTGATTAATGGCTGTATATCGTTTTACTAGGTAATATAGTTTTTATGTACTTGTCACTAATAAGTTGTCAGCACTGTCACTGTCAGTAGCTGTCATTTGAATTGAACATGTGGTTAAGTTTTTATTGACTTGACATGCTAAAAATTAAAAACTAAATAACGAATAAAATAAATGTACAATGAAAGTATCAAAAAAGGTAATAGCAAACAAAATGTTAAAACAAATATTAACGGTAAATTCTACTAATTTACTTAATTTTTTTGCAGAACCGGCAATTTCATAAAAAAAATGAAAAGGACAATTCAGAAACAAGTAATGAAGTTAAAGTGTTCAATGTAAAAATCACAGCACGTACTCTTAAGGCTCAAAAGTATAGAGTAAGTTCAAAATAATTTGATAAAAATTAATAACTTTAATCAATATGGAATCACTGTTACTTAGGCATTCAAGTGTTTTCATGAAAGAAGAAATACATCTCTATAAAATAGCAATAGCAATAAGCTTATATTAGTTATTAAATATTAAAATTTGGATGTAAGAAAATGCCTGCAAGCCAATATAATAATCATATCATTAATGCCAGCAGTCTTCTTATGTGTTAAAAGTGTGGGCCAAATTCCAGTTATAAAAGCATAAAATAAAGTTGGCCCTAACAGCCAAATGCTTAGGAATATTCCTTGGCTGTTGACAATTCCCCTTAGAAACATAACTTTTAGGTGTTTCCTAATTAAAATTTATCTCAAATTTAGGAAGTGAAAAATATTGAAAAAGTTTTAAAAAGAGAAAGTAAAGGAAAATTTCCTGGCAAAGCACCCATTGATCCAAAAACCCTAGAGCGTTACTCAAGAGGTGAAGGTTTTGAAGGAAAAGGAGTGGTCCATCCACTTCATGCTTTGAAACTACAAAAAAAAGAAAAGAAGTTCAATTATGCTCAAGAGCAAGCTGCCAGATCAGAAATACTTCATACAGAAGGTCAAGGGTATGTACAAATAGCAATAAAAAAATTCAAAATATGTCTAGCAACCTGCCTCAGATTTCTTGTGAAACAGAGCCAATACATTTATTTTTAGGGTTCCGTACCTCAAAAGGTAAAAAGGAACCCTTATAAGATTCCTCTCTTGTTCATCTGACTGTCCGTGTGTCACCACCAATTTTGGAATGTAGTAGATATATTAGATGTATAAAAATCGAGTCAACATGTTAAAAAGATATTTTCGCGAAAAATCTAAGCATTTGGTACTGCTCAAATAAATGAAAAATCTAAAAAAATAATAAAAGTTGAAAATTAAAGGTGTCCCTATACAAATATTGTAGACTCCAATTAAGAGAGTCCTTTGAGTTGTATGGGCGCTCATACAATTACATAATAATAATAATAATAATAATAATAATAAAATATCTTTATTCACATAGACGCTTGCGCGTTCTTATGAAACGTCAAAATTTTACAAGAAATTAACACGTTCGTAAGTTACCACCGGTTCGGAAAGCAGTTTCTGTTGAGAAGAAACCGGCAAGAAACTCAACAGTTGCTCTTTTTTTAAAAAAATCAGTTTACAATATAATAGTACAGGTACAATAGTCTTGTTTTAGCCGACGTGATAATCAACAGTATTAACCCCACACATTGGCGTCGTCAAGATATTCGGCAATAGTATAATAGGCTTTAGCCATAAGTTTACTTTTAATTTTTCGTTTAAATTCATCAAGTGGCAGACTTAATATCGCCTGTGGGATTTTATTATACATGCGCACACTTTGCCCCATGAACGACCTGTTTACTTTTTGTAGGCGAAATAATGGCGTAGTTAGTTTGTCCTTATTTCTAGTATTTAGTTTATGTCTGTCACTATTCTTTTGATAATTATTAATATTCTGTTTAACATACAAAATATTACAATAAATATATTGAGACGCAACAGTGAGTATATTAATCTCTTTAAAAAGATCTCTGAGTGTATTCCGAGCTCCGATGTTATAAATTGCTCGGACAGCTCTTTTTTGAATAATAAATATTGAATTTATATCAGATGCACTACCCCACAACAAAATGCCGTACGACAATATGCTGTGAAAATAACTGTAGTAAACAAGTCTGGCAGTGTCGATGTCTGATAGCTGCCTAACCTTCCTAATTGCAAAAACAGCGGAGCTTAACCTATTCGCAAGAGATGATAGATGGGGACACCATTGGAGTTTTGAATCTACCGTGATTCCCAAGAATACAGCGGACTCAACAGGATTAAGGGTTACGCTATTCAATTTTAAGCTAAAACTTTGCCTTCTTACGTTGGGAAGAGCAAAAAGAAGGCATTTAGTTTTTTTTTAGCATTTAACACCATATTATTAATGGTAAACCAGTGGAGGATACGCGAAAGTGCACTATTCACGTCGTCATAATTCGATACATTTCGGTCAACCTTAAAAATAAGCGATGTGTCGTCAGCAAACAGTACAACATCACATAACTCACTGGCATAAAAGGGGAGATCATTTATATATACTAAGAATAATAATGGGCCCAAGATTGATCCTTGTGGGACGCCCATTTTCATGGGGGACCCTGCGGAATTTACATCATTTATAGATACTTTTTGAATTCTATTACTAAGGTAAGAGGCAATGAGATTGAGGGCGATGTCACGAATGCCATAATAATCAAGCTTTAAAAGGAGGGTTTTGTGATCCACGCAGTCGAAAGCTTTTGAAAGGTCGCAAAAAACACCTATTGCATCTTGCGACCCTTCCCAGGCGTTATAAATATGTTTGACAAGTGCGATACCCGCATCTGTTGTCGATCTGCCTTTAGTGAATCCATATTGCTCATTGTGAAAAATTTTGTTCATATTAAAATGTACTAAGAGCTGATTTAAAATTAGTTTTTCAAAAATTTTACTCAGAGATAATAGATACATACATACATACTAGATAATAGTACGGAACTCTTCATGCGTGAATCCGACTCACACTTGACCGGTATTCAACACCAAAGTTTTATCCATACAGCATAATGTCATTCAGCATCTTCAACAAACATTGTCATATTTCAGCCCATTTGCACAAAACTAATATGCTACATGTTTAAACCTTATAATAAAGTGGGCCCTCACTACCTCACTCAAAAGATGAAGTGGAGAAATATAACACTTCTGCTTCACATCAATCTTCTATAGGGCTTCACAACAGTGTAGACTGTACCATAGTTAAAACCATTTTAGCTGGGAGAATATCTTTGTGTAAAATATTTTTGTTATATTTTAGGTTAATTGAAGTTGGCGACGGGGAGAAAACCACAACCGTTTCTCAGAAGGTTATAGCAGAAAATGTGGATATTGCTGCTGCTACAAAAATTTTTGAACTAAATCTTGAGTTCGGACCATATAGAGCGAAATATTCACGCAATGGAAGACATTTATTGCTTGGAAGTAAAAAGGGCCACTTGGCTGCTTTTGATTGGGTTACAAAAAAATTGCATTTTGAAATCAATGTCATGGAGTCAATTCATGACATCAGGTATATTGAAAATAAGTTAAGCAAAAGATAAAATAATTTAATTCAGTATTTTGTTTATTCTCATTTTATGTAACCTTGAACTTTACAGTTGGCTCCATGTTGAAACAATGGTGGCTGCAGCACAAAAGGAATGGTTATATATTTACGATAATACAGGGACTGAGCTACATTGCGTAAAGAAAATCGATAAAATTTTGCGTCTAGAATATCTACCATATCACTTTCTGCTTGCTGCTGTAGTAAGTTGTATTTTATAATATCGCGATACCTTGAACTTATTGAAGATTTTTACATAATGACCCAAATATGAAAAAATTGGATTATAGAGGCGGAGAAAAATTATAAAGAAAACCAAAAAAATTAATAATTTAAAAATTCTAATTTTTTTGTTTTCTTAGTATAAGTCTTCATTTGTTATATTTAGATTATCACAACAGATACTGCTTTATAAATTGTGGTAAAATTTCGTTTAACCAATCTGATATGATCCAAACATATGGAAATCTGTATTTATAACACATAAAGGTGATATTAAAAACTATCAACCAATCTCCAAGTTATATACACTGTAAAAAATTACTTACAATATCCTTTTTTATGAAAAATTGGTGTACATTATCTGGTCCCCATATCAATCATAAAAACAAAAATAAATTATAAGTATGTAGAGGACATATCCAACTGCTGGGCAAAGTCCACCGCGGCCCCACTGCGGATTGGCTGATTCACATATCTTCGAAATATTTTTTTTATTATTATTTTGAAAATATGCAGTTTTCCTAACGATGTTTTCTTTCACCGCTGAGCAAATTTCATTGGTGCTGCCACCGAGGATCGAACAAAGGTTGCTCGAGCATATTGAATTAAAGGCGAACACCCGGACACTAAGCTAGTATGGCTAGCAATCTTATTAGAGTATTTTGTTAAAAAATTTAAAAAAAGTTAAATTAATAAATTGGCATTAAATTAATTAATACTGGCAGAGAGACATAACACAGCTCATGTAAAATTTTATATGGGCTTCCGCAAAGATAAATAGATTGTCCTTCACTATTAAACAAAGTATGGTTTATAACACCTCAAAAAGTAACCTTTGGCAGAAACAGCCTTTAACACGACTAGGTTACAGCGACAATAAATGAACAAATGTCTAACGCTACTTGCCAATAATCATAAAAAAATATTAACGTTAAAAAAATCCATAATTAAAAAAAATATTTTTCTAACTAAACTAATTAAGTAAAAAGAAACAAAATTTGTAACATTACTACTACAACTGACTGATTCATACATTCAGAGACTTTTTCATTCATTGCCACAGCATCGCATTACAAGCCTCTCCTAACTCTTCTAACAGTATGTTTTGTCTCTTTTAAATTCATTCAACCCATTCATAAGCTTTGTAACCTTTACAAATGTACTTTACGGAGTTGTATAAAACTACTGTAAGGTTGTTCTAAAATTCTTTGTTTTGGAAAATTTAATAACTCCGTAAATATTGATTTTTAAAGAATGTAAATGTTTAATACAATTTTAAAAAGTTATCATCGTGTGTTTATTTATTGTCGCGATTGTAAAGACATGCTGTATATACACAAAACTCATTCTTCTATTGTGGTTCTTCACCATAGTATATATAAATGTTTATGGAACATTTTACATATTTTTTACTATAACAATTTTAGAATGAATATGGATTTATGACATGGTTGGATATATCTATTGGCGAAATTGTCGGGCATTATAATAATCGCATGGGAAGAACATCTGTTATGACACATAACCCGTACAATGCAACTATATGCCTAGGTAGCTCTAAAGGAGTTGTTTCTTTATGGTCTCCTAATGTAAAGCAACCATTAGCAAAGATACTCTGCCATAAAACACCATTGACTGCAATTGCTGTTGACAATAGAGGGATGTAAGTCTAAAATAAAAAAATATATTAACTAAAATTAAATGTCATGTTATAAATTAATATACTAGTGCCGATAATTTATCAGTGGTTTTCTTATTTTACAGGTACATGGCTACTTCAGGTGTAGACCGGAGTATGAAAATTTGGGACATAAGAAATCTTGATGGCCCCATACAACACTACAAACTTAGAACTGCTCCGATTGATTTGGACTTTTCACAAAAAGACATGATTGCTGTTGGGCTTGGAGAAGTTGTTGAAATATATGAGTAAGCTCACAATTTCTTCCTTATGTGTGGATAGTAATGAAATGAAACAATATAATAAATCATAATCTCTCAGGTTTATAATTTTTATTTTTAGGACATATTGGCTGTAACATATATGGTCTGACTCCTTTGTTATGAATAAACTTTACCTTATTTTAATATGAGGAATCATATGTATAATAAAATACAGAACATTAGATTTGTTTAATATAACATTTTGCCTTTTCCAGTCTTTGTAGGCAGTTACACTTACTTTTATTAACTTAAAAAAAATTTCATTATTTAAATTCCATCCTGTATATGTGGATTGCTCTTTATATATTATATTCTTATAAAAATATAGAAACTCATTTGATGGTATTCTTTCAGTAATTGCTGCTCACAAACACCTAGCAGACCATATTTAAGGCACAGAATGGCAAAATCAATAAACAATTTCAAATTCTGCCCATACGAAGATGTACTAGGAGTTGGAACTAGTGCTGGTTTCACAAGCATTATTGTACCAGGTAATTGTATTACCAAATATGGTTCGTAAAATCAAATATAATTCTTGGCAGAATCTTGGGTGTTATTATACAATACATAATAATATATCAAGTGAGCTGAGGTAAAAAAGGAAGAAGTGGTCAAGTTGAATTGACATCTGCCATTAAGAAAGTGCAATAGCCAACAGAATTTTATGGATATTTCATAATATACTTTTCCTTATTTCTACTTATTACTTCACAATGTAACAAATACTGAATGAATAAAAATCGTCATTCAACAATTGCGTCGGGGGTAGGCTATGTAATTTATCTTCTACCCCTCTGCTCAAACTCGTTTCCGCAAGCAATGGAATCAAATCTTTGGGTTATTCTTTATAACATTTTAGTATAGCAGCCTTGTTGTTAAATAAGAATTATCATTTACATCCTTACTAATATTATAAAGGCGAAAGTTTGTATGTATGGATGGATGTTTGTTACTCTTTCCCGCGCAAACACTACTGAATGGATTTTAATGAAACTTTACAATAATATAGCTCGTACATCAGAATAAGACATAGGCTATAATTTATATACATATTTTATATATATCTGTCTTTCTGTCTTAATGTTACACCTTCAGCCTATTCTACGCAGACGTAGTCGCGGGCACCAGCTAGTAACACATATTTTATATGAATTTTAGGAAGTGGTGAGCCTAACTTTGACGCTTTAGAAAGCAATCCCTTCCAAACAAAGAAACAAAGAAAGGAAGCAGAAGTAAAGGCTCTTCTTGAGAAGATACCTGCTGAACTAATAACCTTGGATCCGTTTGATGTTATGGCAGTTGATGTGCCTTCACTTCAAGAACAAATGGAAGCCAGGAAGAAATTATTGGTAAATAGACAAAACAAATTCGAGTTTTTAGAAATAAAAGGTGTGCCTGCAATCAAAGTTAATCTATACAGATAAATAAAATTGGAGTGTCTGTCCATAGTATTAATATAACCGCTTTTTACTAAATGCATATGCATTGTCACAATTGTCTGTCTGTTGTTTCTGGCTAAACTCTGAAACGGCTCAACTGATTTTGACGGGGTACAGATAGCTGATGAGTAACTCAGCCTACATTTATTTTAAATTTCACGCGGATGAATTCGCAGGCACAACTAGTGTCAAATATAATTCCTAGTTTCTATTTCACATAAAAAAAAATCTATATAGTGAATTCTTAGATTTTTACATAATATTTTTTTCCAGCATCTTAAGCCAAAGAATATTGATTTCACGCCAAGACACAAGAATAAAGGCAAATCAAATATAGCAAGAAAGAAAATTATCAAAAGCGCGACTAGAAAGGTACCTACAAAATAATGTTTATATTAATTTCATTTTTTTATAGTACTTATCTCTGCATCTAAGACATTGAAATTTATGGGAAAATAGATGAAGTTTTTCGCCGCTTCGGGAATCGAACGTGACGTGAATCCGATTCTCGCAGTCGCGGAAAACTTCTCGTCTTTTTATATTATGATATATTGAAAAAACTCAGCTTATTTTGTTTGTTACCCTGTAACTTCTTTCTACGAATAATTTATTTCTATAAGAGAATGGGGTTAATTATCTAAAGCTTGCTAATTTTTTTATTTTGTAGGAGTTCATAGATCAAGCAATAGAAGCCCAAAAAATGTTGGATGTCCCTGAAAGAAAGCCTATGGTACAGAAGCAAGCCTTTGGGGTTTTGGAAAGATTTATCCCAAAAACGAGACTAAAAAAATAAAATGGTCTATTCTTTTTTTCGTTTCATTTGTCAAATTAGGGAAAGCCAATAGATTATCTATCTCTATCTCGAAAATTAATAGAAAGCCGAACATTAGATGTATTAGATGCGAACAAACAGTTTACATATAAATTAAACAACTATAACCTTTTCATCTGATATATATATTGAAATATTTTATTTACATGATTTATACCATTATTTACACAAATATAAATTTAACATGATCAAAAAACTATAATGTAGTAAAAACATGTCTTTAAAATGTAAATAAAAAATAAAGTTGCTGATTTTTATCTTTTTTGAATAAAAGCTAACAAGGTATATCAAATAGATCACATAAACCTTCAGAACCTCTTAATGAAAATGCGAAATCGTGTTTGGTTACTGGTGGGCTCAGTCTTAAAAGATAATCTGTAATAAAAATAATTAACCATATAGAACAGAACAAAAGTAAAAAAATAAGATACAGGTTAACAAAAAGTTTAATATTATATAACATATATAAAGCGTGTCGTTACCACGGCGACAATAAATGAACACACGTCTAATGCTACTTGCCAATAAAAATATTAACGCTAAAAAAAACCATAATTTAAAAAAAATATAACTAATTAAGTAAAAAAGAAACAAAATTTGTAACATCCTATAGAAATTAATTATTAAAATTTGTAATATCCTCTTTTAAATTCATTCAACCCATTCATATGCTTTGTAACCTTTACAAACGAACTTTACGTTACAGTTTTATATGTAAGGGTGTTATAAAATTGTTTGTTTTGGAAAATTTGATAATCGGTAAATATTGATGTTTAAAAAATGTAAATGTTTAATACAATTTTAAAAAGGTTATCCTCTATATGTGTGTACATTTACTGTCGCGATTTTAAAGACACGCTGTATAACACACTTTAACCACAATGTTGAACACAACAACATCCAAAATAGTTTTGTTATAATTTAACATATAGCATTACACAATACTGATTTCCAAATTGATTACAATTTATCCTTCATAGCCTTCTGGGTGTTCATGAAGCATCTTTAAGCTTTTAGACTTATATGCAATTACTAACTAAACTTGATGGAAACAAGCCTGGGTCATCTTAGAGTTTTGTGTCCATGGATGGCGACTAGTTGCCATCCTTTTAAAGAAAAAACAATTGTGATGTGATTTTATTATATGTAGGATAACACAACAGGCAATGACGACCCGAATGGCGTAGTGTAATAAATGGAATGGTGTGGGTTCGATCCCCACTACTGGAAAAATATTGATGATTTATGAACATGGTGTTTTTCTAGTGCCTGGGTGTTTCTATATGTATAATATGTATTTATTTACAAAAGAAAAGTATGTTTAAGTATGTTTATCAGTTTTCTAGTACCCATAGTACAAGCTTTGCTTAGTTTGGGACTAGAAAATGTTGTGTACAAATGTGTCCTAAATATTTATTATTATTTATTATTATTATTATAAATAGCACCAAGCATCAATATTAGTTACTTTGTGCTTAAACTGATAATTTTTAGGGTTCCGTACCTTAAAAGGTAAAAAAAGAACCCTTATAAGATCACTCTCTTGTCCATCTGTCTGTCCGCATGTCATCACCATTTTCTCAGGAATGGGTGGACCTAGCAAGTTGAAATTTATACCAGACACTGAAGTCTATAGTCCATATTAGGTGTATAAAAATCAAGACTTAGTCAACACGATAAAAAGATATGGGCAAATTTAGATTTTTATTAGCCAGGTAACCATTACTAAGAAAAGCCATACTAAGAAAATTGGTGGCAGTTATTTACCAATTTTATTATGGCGGTATAACGGTTAGGTACAGAACTCTCGGCTTACGAGTTCGACTCGCACTTGGCCATTGTTTTACATCGTTTATTTTTTTCTCTATTATCTTGTATTAACTTTCAGTCCCGAGACTATTAAAGCTTCATCTGATGCAGAACCGGTGGGCTAGCCAGAACCCACGGGCTTGGGCCCTCCGCTGTGAGTAGGGCCGCGCATGTGCTCATGTGTGCGTTTAACTATGGTGTGTGATCTAAGGTTTTTTTTTTCAATGTGTAAGGGCAAAATATATCACTGGACTGAAAAGATATATACATCTCTTTTGATATTGGTGATATATTATATTACTATATTTTTGACAAATAAATAGGGCACTAAAAAAGTGAATTTTTATCCATTTCTATAATGTTCAATGAAATGTGATATATAGGTACGCTAACATTAAATTTAAACGCGCGCGAAGGGTCCCATACCATTATCTATAAAAACAGTTAAAAAAAATTATGTTTGTTGTATGGGGGCTCCCACTTAAATATTTTTTATTGTTTTTTAGTATTTGTTGTTATAGCAGCAACAAAAACACATCATCTCTGAAAATTTCAACTGTCTATCACAGTTCATCAGATACAACCTGGTGACAGACGGACAATGGAGTCTTAGTAATAGGTTCACGAATCGAACCCACGTCTTTCAGATTCATGCTCAGGCGAAAAACTTTTCGTCCTTTTGCTACAAATTATAATGTTAAATCTTACGTAAAATAAAAATTTTTAAATTAAAATGTTTGAAAAAATTATTACAATATTTTGAACATTTACAAAAACTGTCTGAGCAAAATAATTTATACTCTGATGTACACAATCATATACCTCATTGTGTCCTCATATAGTTAATCTCTTTCTTTCTCAGGAGGATGCAGTTTTTATATCACTTGTTCCATAGTACTTAATAAAGGAAAATGAACCATATCTCTTTGATATAAAGATATAGTTTGTAATGAAGTAAGCTACCAATACATTAGCTATTCAGGAGAGAAATGTCTCTTTTCTATTATCTATTTATTTTATTTATTTACACTTTATGCAGAAACTAGTACAAAGGCGGACTTAATGCCAAAGGTATTCTCTCTCATTCATTTGCGACTTACACAACTATAGTAATAAATCCCAACAAACATTGCAACCTAAATATTAAAGTTTTTGTATTTTACATTTCCCTTCAAAAACATTGCCCCTTTACTTAACTCAAAATTATCCTGTTTTATAAAGATACATACACAAATTTCACATAGACAAACACCCTGATCCGAAACAAATATCTGTGGGTCACACAAATAGTTGCATAATGTGGAAATCCAACCCACAAGCCCCAGCACTGGAGCAAACTGCGCAATGAAGTTATCTATTCATAAATGTTAGAATAGATTAAATTAAAACTTTACACATTTTTTGGTGGTATACAAGGTAAACTTACTGGTATTTTGATATATATTACTACCATCATGTGTATAACTTTGAACCTCATTGTCATCAATAGTTTCTTCCATTCTTATCTGAAATTATAATATACATATAATAAAAATTAATGAAAATTTGTAATGTGTTTTTACAAACTATTATAAATATGTTAACCACAATTAAAAAAAAAAAAAATATTTTAACTGACACACTCTGCTGTTGCATAAATGGACCGGCTCATCAGGGTAATTACCATAGCCATATAAAAAGCAGTGTAAAGTGGAAGCAATTATTAAACTTTTGCATTTCATCTGGCGAGCATGGTAAAGGGTGCCCAATTTTTTTAAGGTTGGCAATGCATCTAATGCCACAATTGTTGTAGATTAAGTTTTGAGTGAGACTACATTGTAAGTGACAAGAATAAAACAAATACAAAATTAAAATGTATATAATACCTTATCATTTTCCATATCACATAAAAGGATGACGCCCACTTGTTCTGTAGATTTGACATGCAAACTATAGCAGTGGTCTTTATCCTGCAAAAAGAATTTTCTGCTGAATAAGACATACTAAAAATAATATCAGAAATATTTTAAGCATTTGTGTTGAATTGACCACTTAATAGTAACATATTTTAAAAAAAAATGCTACTCTGATTGTACTATCTAATATTTTTTTAATACAAAATATAATTATGCCATATCTAGAAAAAAAAACTTTACCTTACTTGATGGAGAGCCAACTGCTAAATTTCCACCAAGTGGAACTTCCAAAACTAATACTTGGCTGTCCTTAAAACATTTTTTGATATCATTTTCAGTAACATAGGACAATGTGCCATTATCTGCATCATCTAATACATTTTTTATACTTTGTTCAATATAATGAAGTTGCCTGAAAAATTATATTTTTATTAAATTAGGATATTGATTTTAAAAATTATTTTTAAATAAAGAATTTAATCATAAATATATCATATTCTACTCTACAATTGCTTTATTTAATATTACAATTATTGTAATTGGAATCTTGATTTCTTTTAACATTATTTTGTTGTAATATGCTTTAAAGATGACTGACATAATTAAACTTGCAAGATATACTACACAGCTTGTCTTTACCATCACGACAATAAATGAACACACATATAGAGGATAACTTTTTAAAATTGTATTAAAGATTTCAACATTTTACAACATAATTTTCCAAAACAAAGAATTTTAGAACACCCTCACATATAAAACTTTAATGTAAAGTTCATTTGTAAAGCATATTCACAAAGCATATGAATGGGTTGAATGAATTTAAAAGAGACAAAACATACTCTTATCAGGAGAGGCTTGTAATGCAGCGCTGTGGCAACAAATGAAAAAGTCTCTGAATGTATGAATCAGATGTACTCGTATGGGATGTTACAAATTTTGTTTCTTTTTTACTTAACTAGTTTGTTTGAAAAATATTTTTTTAATTATGGTTTTTTTAACATTAATATTTTTTTATGATTATTGGCAAGTAGCATTAGACATGTGTTCATTTATTGTCGCGGTGGTAAAGACATGCTGTATAAAAACATATCAATCTCTAGCAAATCCATATCATTAAGAAATATTAATACACACTTATCAAGTAATATTTCATGTTCTTCAAGGCGTCCAATCTGTTGTCTCAATGAAGTTACTCTTTCTCCTATGTCTGTAGTATTTCCTTCTGGACCAGCACCCCTATAATTATTAATTTAAAGTGTTTTTTAGAAAATGTGGTCGGTTTAATTGAAGTTTTTTTATTCTACTTACTTCCACTGTATACTATTCTTACTCCGTTTTTCTATCAAACCAATTCCTTCCAATACATTTGTAATATCATAAATTCTTCTTTTTTGCCGTACAGCTAATAAATCTGTAGCCTGTAATAGCACACCACGTTGTTAAATTTTAAATATCAAATTTAGATTTTGTGCGAAAAGTGACAATACGCAGCTATACGCACTATTTTTAAATCCAAAACCCCATCTTTAGCTTTTTGCAATAAGGAAACAAAACGGGTGGTTAACAAACCAAGCGACTTTTCATTTCTTTTGTATATTAAGTCAGTCATTATATAAAAAAGGAAAATATTTCAAGTTATTTAATTTAAATGTAGTTAACTTTTGCCAGATTTGCGTTGCGGCGGGATAAAGGTTGGTAAACATGATATTTGAATTAGGGATGGGCAAAAAATATCGCGATATATCGATATTCGATATTTATTTTAGACTATCGAATTTATGTCAATTTCGATATATTTTTATCGCAACTCTGGTTTCTAGTTTAATGTTATTAGATATTCTTTGCAAGTTCTTTGCGCATCGTTAACTTTAAAAACTCTTCAACTATTTTCTTCATGTCTATTCTATTTCTACGAATTTTGAATGATTTGAAAATACACATAAATAATTGTGCGAAAAATGAAATGCATGATATATCGATATTTTTCGATCGATATTTATCGATACTTTTTAAAAATGTGAATACGATATACATCGATATATATTTTTACTTGCCCATCCTTAATTTGAATAGGTATGTCAATATTTGTCGATGTTTGCTAAAAATCGATTTTAATTTTAAATTCTGTAATATTTTTAATGTAACTCGCAAATTCCTTATGTAAAAAAATGTTAATTATCTTTTCCCATCGTATAAATTTTAACCTTCTGATAACTTCAAATATTACGGCGTTTCTTATAAAAAGTTATAGTAAAAGGAATTTCTCTAATCCTCCTTTATATTTTTTACAAGCCTTATAACTATATATATTAATGTATGTATGTAACGGAATCTTTAAATGTGTTTTACTCCCACTCTAACGATCAGATTTGATTCAAACTTCAGAGACTCATGACAATGCAATAATTTTAATAGGTTTTAGTGTTTTTTCCAAATCTGACACCCGGTAGTGTCCTTGAGCCATGCTAAGACATGCTTTTATACTTTGCTGAACTAAAAAATATAAAATAAATAAGTTTTAAAAAACTCGCTTTTGTGTTTATACCGAACTAAAAAGTAATAATAATATATAATAATATAATAATTTAGGAATTAGTGTGATTAACAAAAAAAAATATTGCAAAAACGGTTGGGATGCTTTATAAGATACGAGGTCCGTTCTAAAAGTATCTCGAATTTTGAATTTCCGCGTGCTAATTTACTACTTAAAAAATCTAACCAATATAACCTAAGCTAACTATCATCTAACAAAATTTATCAACTTTTGGAGCCGATGCCTTGGAATGAAAGGAATACTGTGAAGTGAATAGCAGCGAAAATGTTGGTCTTATAAAAAGGGCTTAAACAAAAATTATCACTAGGGAATTTATTTTATAAAAAAAATGTCTCGTTAGATTATTTTAAACAACCAATATTTTTCCACCAGTATTACCAATATTTTTTTTATCGTTATTCCAATGATTCATAATGTATGATACAAAAATTTAATTACTTTTGGAGTTTTCTTTAAAGCCCGATTTACATTGGACAGTGGCGGGTAGTGAGTAAAAAGTGGCATGTGGCGGGAACCGGACAAGTGGCTGCTTACATCAAAGACCAATATACTGTTATAATAATATACTGTTGGCTTTCATTTCTTCGCCGAAATTAACGAGCAATACGTGCAATTTCATATCCTGTACTGTCAACTGTACTAATTTAATTGATTAAAGTCAAGTAACCTGCGGGAGTTAAGCGTGCGCGCGAGGAGTACACTTGCACCAAAAATAGAAAGCGATTCTATCTGGGTCTACTTACAAGCCAAGTAGACGCGCCACTGTCCCGACGGTTTATACTAATATACTTATATTAAACACTAGAAATAAGGACAAACTTACATCGCCAGTGTTTCTTCTACAAGAAGTAAACACGTCGTTCATGGGGCAAGGTGTGCGCATGTATAATAAAATTCCACAGTCGATATTAAGTCGGCAAATGTAAATAACTTTAACTCTTCCGTAATTCAATTAAAATAAATTTTAAACAATAGAGTAAAATCTCTAATGAATTAATCAACAAGCAGAATTCGGCGGTCGCTTATAGTTTTCGAGAAAAAAATATTTAAAACTTGTTATTTTTACTAAGAAAAATGGCGGATTTCTATAGTAAAAATCACACTATTTCATTATTTATTTTTTCGAAAACTATAAGCGACCGCCGAAATTTGCTTGTTGATAAATTTATTAGTGTTTTTCTCTATCGTTTAAAATTTATTTTAATCGAATTACGCCGGAGTTAAAGTTATTTACATTTACCATTAAGTCTACCGCTTGATCAATTTAAACGTAAAATTAAGTCAACCTATGTTTTGACCATTACCTTTTATGTAAAGTTTGACGGCGCACGAATGGCGCGTAAGCCTCTATTTGAATAGAGATAAATTTGATTTGATTACTCGCTGTACTTCTCTACTTTGCTAAACACTTGACCAGAGTATTTAATTCGGCTTAAAATGTATCCTACGCTACCGCTATTGAATGCTTTTTGACGCTATCTCTACTCTTCATAGTTCAACTCCGCATTCTAAGCAATGAAAACCGTAATAGTTGTCGCAAGGTTATCATATAAATATTATTGCGTAGATTGACTTACTCAAAAGTGTTCACTTACTCAGAGGGTATCAGGGCATAGTCCACCACGCGGCCCCACTGCGGATTGGCGGACTTCACATATCTTCGAAAAATATTTTTTTTTATTTCGAAAATATGCAGGTTTCCTCACGATGTTTTCCTTCACCGCGGAGCACGTGATAAGTCAACACTTAAAGTTAAAAACTTCATTGGTGCCGGCACCGGGGATCGAACTCAGGTTGCTCGAGTACATTGAAATAAAGGCGAGCGCCCGGATACTGAACTATCACGGCTCTACTTGAATTAACGCTACTATAATTAATTTTTCTCTTTTTAATTATCAGTCAAATTTGAAAGTTTTTTTCAAAAACCTATTAAAAAAAATTTTAGGTTTTAAGTATTTTGTAAAGTAATTAACTTAATAATAATAATAAAATTAAACCAGACAATCACTTGCTCTGAGAAAAACAATCCAAATGAAATGGCAATAAAACACTGAATGAATGCAATTTCATTTAATCGACAATGCATACTTTGAATTGAAGACTTCTCAAGTCAGACGGGTTACATCACAGAGACGCGTTTACAAGCATGTATGAAAGAGTTAAAGTATCATTAACAATTATCGTCATCGTCCGTTATTTCGAGAATGTTTGCAAGGATGACAAGGTAAGGGTATGCAAGGCTTTTTAGGGTTCTGCATCCAAAGGGAAAAACAGGGCACTATTACTATGACTCTGCTGTCTGTCTGTTCGTTTGTCAAATCACAAAGCATAATTGAATGAGTTGAATGAATTTGAAAGAAATAAAACATGCTGTTAGAAGGAGAGATTTGTAGTGCCACGCTGCGGCAACGAATGAAAAAGTGTCTGAATGTATGAATCAGTCAGTTGTAGTTATATAGAATGTTACAAATTTTGTTTCGTTTTTTATTTAATTAGTTTGAAAAATACTTTTTCTTTAATTATGGATTTTTTTACTGTTTTATATTTTTTTTACGATTATTGGCAAGTAGCGTTAGATTTGTGTTAATTTGTTGTCGCGATTGTAACGACACGCTTTTTGGGATTTTTTTTTTATTTTTTTATAAATAATTAAAAAAAATATTTCAAAGATATCTGAGTTTCACTCATTTCGAAGTGGGGTCGCGTGGTGGACTATCCCTATATAAAAACTTTTTTTTGTGACGTGTAGTTTGCTAGCCCGGCGGCTTTGAAAGCTTCGGCGGAAGAGGTCTGCGGGCAGACGACCCACGGACTCGGGAGAACAACGTAGCTGATGCACGACGACGACAAGAAGACGCCGTCCGCTCCGTATTGGCGTAGCGCTGTCGCTTATGAATGAATAATTATACAAACAATCATTCCTGAGAGCAATTTGTTTACGACATTTGTTCATCTTTATTAACATGTGTTAACGGTATTAACAATGTTAATAAAAATGATGCATTCACGAAAACGTGGCCTATAAAATAAAAGGTTATAAAATTAATCACGCAGGAATTAAGTGCCGTGATAGCTCAGTGTCCGGGCGCTCGCCTTTAATTCAATATACTTTGGGGTTCCGCATCCGGTTTAGACACGATATTTGTATTGCAAAAGCAAGCGATACGGGCTGTCTATGACCTGGGTCCACGTGAGGTCCTTCGGCATATTTTTAAACAAATAAACATCTTAACGCTCCCGTCGCTATACATACTTGAGAACATCATGTATGTACGAAATAACATACACCATTTTACAAAAAAACATACCACATCGCGTCGGGGCCGTGGTGACACGTTGGAAATACCGAGGTTTAGACTAGCTAAAGCCAGGAAATCGTTTCTTGGTAGATGTATTAACTTATATAATAGAATACGTGACGTCCACAAACAATTAAGTGTAAATAATTTCAAACATTTTGTAAAAGCCACCTTAATGGAAAGGGCTTATTATAATGTCGAGGAATACATTGAGGACAAGGATGTGTGGAAATGACTCTTGCTCTGCACTTGCAAGTCCCCTGGCTCCTGCTAAATTATACTAAAATAATTTTCTGTATTTACTTAAATAATAAAAAAATAAATAAAAAAAGAATATACATATATGACCGCAGAGTTTCTTGCCGGTTCTTCTCTTGCAGGTCTAGTTTAGTGAACCGGTGGTAGTTTTTGCCGTTCAATAAGAGCTTAAAATAAGCCTATGTTGAATAAAAAAAATTTTGACTTTGACTCGAGCAACCCAAGTTCGATCCCCGGTTTCGGCACCGATGAAGTTTTTAACTTTTAAGTGCTGACGTATCACGTGCTCCGCGGTGAAGGAAAACGTCGTGAGGAAACCTGCATATTTTCGAAATAATAACAAAAAAAATATTTCGAAGATATGTGAAGTCCGCCAATCCGCAGTGGGGCCGCATGGTGGACTATGCCCTGATACCCTCTGTATAGAGGAGGCCTTTGCCCAGCAGTGGGAGATGTATAGGCTGTTACTTTACTTAATTACGAGCGCCCATACAGTCGTCAATAAATAACAAGGAGGCACACGAGTATAGCTCTATAGAGCTCGCATTAGCTATAGCTAAAGAGCTCGCACTCGCCGTCGATTGCGCTGAGCCATAATATGTCTGTATGTTAGTGCATTGCGTGTTAGGTGACGGAATGCGCGCGGAGGGATCGCGGAGGTCGGCGCCTCGTTGAGTGCCTCTGATCGGGCTATGCCGATTAGACACAGAGTTGCGCTATCGGGTGGCGGCTGATTATTAAATATATTAATCGCGCGCGTAAGTGAGTCTGGATCATCCATAACATTTAGTTTACGGCGTAGTCTCGGATGCACGGTCCGTGAGGGTGCGGGATAGATTCCGATAGCTTTCACCAACGGATTAATATCAACGGATATTTATTTTGAATTACTTGTAATGGATTTAATCTAGTAGGAGGGATATGCGCAAAACAAACACTTGCGTATGCCATAATGGGGCGAATACAGATTTTATATATATGTATTTTATGTTATGTATTGTATTTTATATAACAACCTTAAACTAAATACCATATACACGTAAATACCTTCTAGACAGAATAGGCCTTTACCCAGCAATGGGACCTATGTAGGCTGTTAATTTACCATTAGAACCTGATTTTTCTATGATTTGATATTCATTATCAAGGCATTATCATGGATATTAACAGTTGAATTGTTTACGCCAACTACCATTCGCGGCAAAAAGATTCATCTTGGCATAGTTCTATCTAATCTCTTAGATCAGCTACACAAAATGTTTAGGAAAATAAGGACAAGATTTTATAGACAATTTTAGATAGCAATCAGAATTATGCTAACAAAGGTCAGTACAGCAATCTGCAGAGAACTTTTCATATTTGTAACTAATTAAGAACTATTTGAGATCTTTAAGATGAATAACTACTTCTTTTTATCACCTAATATATTGAATTAACTAATTGATTTGTTTATAGATAAAATCTTATTGAACATTTAAGAACAGTTCAATTTATTAACACTTTTCCTAATATGAAGTACGCCTTAAAAGGGATTTCGACGACGCCCACATCACATAAGCTAAGTCAATACATGTTTGTACATTTGATTTAAAATATGATATAGCAATTTTCAATGTTTAGAAATAATTTATACATATTTTTCCGTTATTAAGAATGTTTATAAAGTTTACTTTTTGAATGAAAACATTTTTTTCAGCATTCCAAACTTTTCCCTCTCAATGTTTAATAATGTTTCATGTTTTCTTTCCCACATTTGCATTTTACGATACTCAAAAGATTCCTTGACTTTTATGTTTTTTTTTCGTAATTCTAGTTCCTGTTCCTTAATGTTTAATTTCCTTTCAAACATCTCATCTCTTGAAATTGTTTGCTCTTCTTGCCTTCTTAAGTACTCAATCCATTGTTTTTCTAAATGAATCTTACTCAGAGATCTGTCAGATTCTATTCTATTAGCCAATCTTAACTTTCGGAGCTGAATCATAGCTTTATTTTCTTGAAATGGTTGAGAAGACATTTTATGATTGTATGCTAAATTTATTCTATTATCACAAGCTGTCTTTTTTTGGAGTAATTCAGCAATAATGTTAGCATCTCCGTCAACATTAAACTGAGAGTAAATTTTATCCATTTCTTTAAAATATTTAAATTTCTCATGTTGCCCCCCATCTATGCACTGTTTGTATTTTTTAGTAAGTGCATTAACTTTCCATCTAATTTGATCTGGAGTCATCTGTAAATATTCGCATATTATGTATTAAATACATATACTCGGTGATTTGGTGGCGCTGTTGCGAAGCTATTGGCTTCGGCGTCGGAGGTCATAGGTTCGATTCTCACACGGGACCAGTGTTTGTGTAACCCACAGATAATTGTTTCGGTTCTGAGTGTTTGTTTCCCAAGGAGGGTTGACGTCGGCCAGGCGGCTGGTCGTAAAAATATAGCCAAAACCGTCTACACCATGATTCACATGTATGTGCTGACCCCACCTATGTGTTATAAGGGCAGAAAGATGATGATGTGTTAAATACATATACAATATATAATCACCATTATACAACTTATACCTCAATTATCTGTAAAATTTATCTAATACTTACAAGATTAAATCTATATAAAATTACATATTATCTAATAAACCTATTCCATGCGGCATTGTACCAAGAACACTACCTGCATTTCCTCACTGTATAGTTATGCCCACCTCTCTTGTCACCAGCCACGGCATTAAGGCTAGGACAAAAACCTTTAAAAATGGCAACGGCACGGACCCAAAGTTACAACAGCAAATGGCACAAATACATAATCTTAACAGAGTAATATTTGCACCATTTAATTACTTCAGCTGCCACCAATGCCGCCCCGGCTCTGACCGAAGTACCTCTTAGATGAGAGGCAGCCAAAGTGACTACACGACTAGCATCCCAAACAAGGGCTTTGCCTCTCTCCCAAGGGATGAAAGTCAAACCATTAGGACTCTTAATATCGTCGCAAGGTTTAACATTGAGTTGAGTTATCTATGCTTACAAATCTAGTCAGTAATTGAACTTTATATATTTTCTTTAAAATTATGTTTAAAACTTATTTTAATGATCATATATACAATCATTAGAGGACTTTTGAGAATCAAAAGAGATAAGTCAAAAGTAATCAGGTCATAATAAGCAAAAATCAAGTACATGAATAATTTTCTCCACTTTTCTAAAAATGTCAATATTCAAATAATGAATAAGATTTTTCCATTAGCTTTAAAATTTCACTGCTAATGGTTAACTGCAGATTGTGCCTGATCATCATACATTAGATCAAGAATACTAGGTGAGAAACATGGTTTTACCTGTATATTATAGTGTTTTAAACATTCTGAAATTGCTAACCAAATTCTTTTTTTCCTTTTTGGTGTTTCCAACATTTCTAATTTATCTTCATACAATTTTAAAAGAGTGAATGTAGCATCAGTGGTCCAAACTGCACCTACAAGAGATTGCATGAAAATTATTGTGTAATTACAATACATCTGAATCTATAAATACAAAAATTATTATATATTTAATCTAGCAGATGCACTTGCATACATACAGTGTTTATCAGAGCTGCAGTTGATATTATTTTCTTGATTAATATCCCTGCAGTTAGCTAAACGGTTGCAAATTGAGTCTTGCTGTGCTGAAAATTAAATTTTGTATTGAATCTAAACATTTTGAAAAAGACAATATACACAATGACTTTTTTGAAAATTTTCTGTTGTTAGTAAACTACCTAGTAAATTTTCTAAACAAAGAATGTAAATGAAATCTTTATTATTCTCATTCTAAAATACGTTTTATTTATCAATTATATTCTGCTACTTACATTTTACATCATCCAAAATATCACTCGTAAAAGGAACATTTTTTTCCATGTCCATTTTAATCGCTTAAATATTATAAGTAGAAATGTACGAATCTACGAATTATAATCACATAAATATAAACATATATAATGTACTCTGCAGAGTACTGTTATATATCTGAATTTTATAAGTTATATATCTGGTACTCTGTGAATATAAATAAAACAAACCCCGAACATTAAAATGTTAGTACTTAGTAGCAAAGAAAATATAACCACTACGTTTAAGAGACGGAACTTCCATACTAGCTAAAAATAAAAGGTAAATGTAAATAACTTTAACTCCGGCGTAATTCAATTAAAATAAATTTTAAACGATAGAGAAAAAAAAATCTGTAATGAATTAATCAACAAGCAGAATTTGGCGGTCGCTTAGAGTTTTCGAGAAAAAAATATTTAAAACTTGTTTTTTGTACTAAGAAATCCACCATTTTATTTGTTTGACTTCAAAAACTCAATACACAGTTCTGCCAACATGATAAATATAGGAAGCGGGCGACATCATACTTGTATCGATATTCCGATTTTTTTAAATTTAATGAGTCACAGAACCGACACAGAGCGAATCCGACTCGGATAGATTAAGACCACCAAGAAATACGAGCAGAATTGACATATTGACAACAAAAAAATGGCGGATTTCTTTAGTAAAAATCACACTATTTCATTATTTATTTTTTCGAAAACTATAAGCGACCGCCGAATTCTGCTTGTTGATAAATTCATAAGTGAGTGTTCTCTACCGTTTAAAATTTATTTGATTTGAATTACGCCGGAGTTAAAGTTATTTACATTTACCAAATAAAATATCTGTTTATCAGTTTACGCGGCACTCCAATATTTGGTATTGGAGCGCCGCGTAAACTGTAGTACTTTTATATATCTGAAATGCTCCAATACCTACCTAACCAATAACCATACCACAAAAATGTCAAACAACAGGAGTACCAACGTAACGAGCCAAATAGTGCTTAACCAAGCTAGCTTAGCTACTTATCGATTTCGATAATATACTAGCTAGAAACCGAGGTTTCCACTTAATATTTTTTTATTAATTTTAGGAAGTATTTTAATATAAAACCGTATTTATGTCCATTGTTAATGAATTCCAATGGGATATTTGGTACTAATATAAGATTGGACGTAATAACGAAAAATGAAACAACGAAAATAAATTTAAAAAATTATCTTCACACACCGTATGGGTATTCGGAATCTAAAAAATAAACAATCAACATATTGTATAATCCTTTTTTGATGGTAGGGCACTATTTTCCAGGCGTTTTTTTTTAAATTAAATGCTTTGTCGTCAAAGTGATTTCCACATACATATGTTAATGAATGCAATCTTCTTTTTCTACAAGTTTGACCCACTGTTTGCATCTGAACTTTTTAAATTAAAATTATATGTTTTTTCGTTAAAATCATAAATATTGGCACTGAAGATCAAATGTAAATAAATTTTATGGTGAGTGACCATAAACAATAATATAATACTTATAGATGCATGTTTACTCCGCCCAGATTTTTGTGGGCTTATCATCGCTACTTTATTTGTATCAGGAGTATTATGTATTTGTAACATAATTACCATGCTTTGCATAGACCTTACAAATTTTGGTAAAATTTCAGCAGCCCACTACTTTTATATAGCAAACAAAAGAAAAATTTAAATGACAGATTAGAGAAACTATAGAGACGTATCACTAAGTAATCAATTAAAAAATTTGATAGTCATCTATACTTTTCGAGAAAAAAACGTAATTAAATCTTATTATTTTCAATCCGGCATTTTACTATTATCAACATTTTCACATTTAAAAGCCATTCGTAAAATACTGTTTTGTCCACACTTAAAACATTCAAACTTTTTTCAAGAATTCATGATAACACAACAAATTAAAAAGTACTGAACGATTTGATTCCGATTGGAATAAAATTTTATTAAAAAATAAGACTAATACAATAATGTAGGTATATACATATTTGGTTAATATAAATGAGCGGGAAATACTTTTGGTTTTAAATTTGACATACAATTAGGCATCAAAAATACAGCCAATATGATAATATCGATTTCGAAACTCGATTACCAATTTTATAAGATCTTTTTGTTAAAAGCTCTTAATGTTACCATGGTGCATTATAAACTGATTTAAATTAAATTCGTCTTTACGTAACTCAAGCTGATGGTTTTCTACGTGATTATAAATCTATGATAATAATGGACTAAGTTACATTCAAAATGAGTCACAGATCCGACACAGATCACCCCGACTCCATGTGGTCTTGTGTCCCTATCCCTAGAGTGAATATAAAAAGGCGGAGCCAGAAAAGCGTCGGAGGTCTAAACTACAATGAAGTATAAATTTTGAACATTTCTTATATTTTTTTTACATAAAACAACAAAAAAAATTATGTTTTTTCTCGAAACTAGAGGCGACTACCGAATTCAAATTATTGACTAATTCGTAAGTGATATGTCTCTAGAGTTCTATCTATCATTTAAAATTTTCTTTTGTTTGCTATATAAAAGTAGTGGGCTGCTGAAATTTTACCCAAATTTTTCTTGAAAACTCGGCACACGAAATCAATTGTGTGGCATATCAATATTATAAAGATTATGTTTCTAAATCCTGGAAAACTGCACAACCTATTCCGATCCTTGCTCATTTATGTAGGCAGGCCATCCAAATATGTAAAACATTCTACCCCTACTCTTTCACTGAATATCTTATTTCTTATTTTATTTCTGTAATACAAAATAGGGATGTTATCGATATGTGGATATTACAGTTGCAGTACAACACTAGCACACAATTAAATGAGATAAATTTGTTAATTTTATTTGTTCTTAGCCTGCTCTACCTACATAAGGCTGCAAAGTATCATATTTAATTGCTTACCGGGCTTCATCTAAGGGAAATCTCGCAATAAACATCCTTTTCTTCGAGATTCGAACGACTTGTTCGATTTTCACAAATTTCACGGGTAATAACGGTCTTTTAGGCATTTTGAATTAAAAATACAACTCTGATCACCTGTCACTAGTTTTCGTGAGAAATTATAATGTAAACAATTTAAATCTACAATGAAATAAGTATTTACATTCAAAATACTCGGTGCGAAATGAAGTTTTGACAAACGTCAAACATTATGGCACTTCTTGTATTGCAAGAAAGAGAACCAACCGCATTGAGGGAGTGTAATAGCAATATCCGCCATTATTTGCCACTTAAAGTCCATAGAATAATTTTTTGTTCCTATTTTCGAATTTCGCCAGTCTGCTTAGCAGGTCATAGGTACATTTTTAATAAAGATTATATGGCTTGTTAACAAGACCTTCAAGCCAATACCATGAAAATACTAATTACTAATACTATTAAATCACCAGGGTAAGACGTGTATGACCCTGCCGTTAACAAACAATTAACAATTTTCGGATCTTTTTTTTCAACAAATCAAAAAAGTTACAAAAAAAAAAGAAGAAGATTGCACATGTAGAAGGCTAGTACATTCTTTTATATATTTTCTTTTATAATTTATTATTGGAAAAAGTTTCAAATGTTATTAGACGTCGGCTAAAATTCAGTATCATGAGATGTTCGATCAACTAAATTCGTATTTGATGGAGTCGATTATTAATAAATATTACTTTTTTCTTCATGTCTTTTACAATTTTTGAAATGTTTGGAAATCTAAATAAAAAAAAACTTAAAAATATCGATATAGCGATTTATCCATATTTTTCACTCGATACGATTACGAATTATCGATAGGTTTTAAAAATTTCCATAACTCATTAACTACATTCGGAAACTCTGAAGACGTAAGTTCTTTTTTCACTGTCTATATTTCTCAGAATTTTCCTTCCACTTTTTACGCAATTGTCTCTGTTCGCTTGGGCTTTTTTTTCAGTGATTGATATCTGTTTCTTTTCTTCTTTACGTTTTTGGTATTTGGCACGTTGTTTTTCTTTTTCTAAAGCATATAATTCGGGATCATTTTTATTTCTATATACTTGCGTCTTTTTCATGTCTCTGCTGGGCCAAACGCTCTAGTTTCATTTTAGCCATGGCTGTATCTGCGTAATGAAGTGGAGAAAAATTAAAATAAACAAGTTTTAAAATGTAAATTTACGTGTAATGATCTGTTTTCTATTGTACAATTATAAAATTTATAGGATTCTAATTATATAACTTTTGAAATGCTCAACTTATACCTCCTAATCATTAACCTCCATCATCCATCATTAAATGTAACAAAAATGTCATGTCAGCAAAAATGAAATGCCCTCAAAAGGCAACATTCATCTCATCAAGAATTACACGATTAATGATTTTGTGATAAACGACGAAGTATAGAACACGTTCAAACCTATCCAACCAATCAAAAAACTGTAATATAATATTTTTTTTCGTTTAATATACTTTAAATGTGCATCCTCATTTGAGAAAATAGACTTACCACCAATATTTTGAATCGTTTAATGACGATAATTACTAATTAACTAAAATAAATTCACTTTAAAACCTAATTTTACTATTAATACGTGTATGCTTGCACAAATCTCAACAACGACTGAGGAGACGCGCAAGTCTAGTTCAGTCTGGCGAAACCAGGAATAAAAAAAATTTCTATGGACTTTACGTGGCAAATAATGGCGGACATCGCTATCACACTCCCTCAATGCGGTTTCTCTTTCTTTCAATACAAGAAGTGCCATGTTGTTTATCAAAACTTAATTTCGCACCGCGTAATTTGAATGTAAATGCTTATTTCATTGTAAATTTAAATTGTTTACTTGTGAAATTTAACCAATATTCTCAACTTTCATATTTAATTCTTTGTTTTGGATTAATAGTTGTACTTTAATTTACACATATTTTGATTCCTTATAGTTTCAGCTTTATATAGTATTTTTATTTCGCTTAAGCTGCCGTTATTTGCTAGAAAATATACTTTTAATCAGCCATGACGTAGGCGCTTGACGCAATTAATCACCGATCAGGTGACAAATCGGTGGACGTCTATTAAGCTGTCAATAAGGGTTACTTTACAGTGGCCACGTAAACTGATATTTTTGGCTAGTATGGAAGTCCCGTCTCTTAAACGTAGTGATTACATTCTCTTTGGGCTAGTTATTAAAAATTCGTTCGTTTACTTACTGTATTCTAATAATTTCGTTGAACAAACTTTTTGAAACAAAAATCGCGGAAATTAATTGTAATATTCTTGTGACACATTTTTAAATAGTGGTTAAATAACAATGACAAGGGTAAATCTAGATATCAGAAAAGTAATAGATATAAAAATAAGTAAGGGATTAAATCAAGCGAAATTTAGACAAAGGATACAAGTTTTTGTAAAATTAATGAACATTGTAATGAAAATACCGAAGTGGTAAATGATTTCTGCGATACTATTACACTTAAAGTTTTTTATATTTTAGTATAATTATTTTGTTATTTTATTACCTACTAGTTATGAATAAATGTATAAAGAATATTTTGAGATATGTTCTACATAATGCGTAATGTTATTTTGAGTGAAATAATCGAATCACACTAAAAATACGCTATTTTGAAAATTCACCCAACCACTCTGCGGAACCAGCTGCCCTCGGCTGTCTTTTCGAACCATTACGGCCTGGGAAGAAGAAAGCATACTCTTTCCTAAAAGGCCGGCAACGGATTTGTTACCCCTATGATGTTGCAGGTGTCCATGGGCGGTGGTGATCACTTACCATCAGGTGAGCCTCCATCTCGTTTGCCCACTTTTTTCCCATAAAAAATTTATGAATTACACAAAAATAGTTGATTTGATAGCCCAAAGGTCTAGATACCGGGCCATAAAATAAAATAAAAAAGTGGATTTGACATTCACACTGCTGACATGTTTATGAATATCAGTGATGTGACGAGTTGGATTTTTTTTGACTCGAGTTACTCGAGTTGATGTGGCTACTGACTCGAATTGCAACTCGAGTTGACTCGCATCGAAGTCTCAGGTAGGGCCAACTCGGAGAGCACGAGTCAGCTCGACTCGAGGTTAATTAGATAGGAAGTAGAAGTGGGCGATACAAATCGTATCAGATATGAAAACTATATATTAGTACAATATCCGAATATCGCTTACTGGTTCGTTCAATATCTATGTATTTTACAATATCTGATATTTCCGAAATCTGATGTACCGAATACTCGCTCGCTCGCTATACCGACACGAATCGCGATATCATACGCGTTTGCTACAATATCTGATTTTTAAACAGATTTCGAGAGACAAAGCGCGTCAGACACAAATACTCACTAGTTAGAGCGGGACGGCAAGCAATGCACGATATCAGATTTTTAAACAGGTTTCGGGAGACAAAGCGCGTGAGATACAAATACTCACTAGTTAGAGCGGGACGGCAAGCAATGCACGATATCAGATTTTTAAACAGATTTTGAGCGACAAAGCGCGTGAGATACAAATATTACACTAGTTAGAGCAGTATGGCAAGCAAGGCACAATATCAGATTTTTAAACAGATATTATGAATAAGTCAAGTAATTTTGAATCCTAATTCCATGCGAATAATTTCGCGCGCGCGAGACGCGTGTGTAACTCGGAACAACTCGTGAGGCCGCCGCGTATAACGTCCGGCTTGCTTTCGGACGACCGAGTTGATTCGAGTTGCTTAAAACTGAACTCGAGTTGACTCGTTTAAGGTTTGACTCGAGTTACTCGAGTCAAATAACTCGAGTCGCACATCGCTAATGAATATGAATATATGTATGTATGTCTAAGAATTTTAAAATGCATACGAATTGTTTTTTTAAACTACTTTCTTGTTAAGTTAATGTCGGACACTAGCATTATTTTATGGCTTACAAGCACAATTGTTAGCAGTGATGATAGTGAATCTAGTAGTTGGAGTGACATAAGTTCTATTAAATCAGAATCTTCTGAAGACGAAGATGAAGATGATAGATTGTTTTTTCCTCTAATGCAATATTTACTTAGGTTACGGAGAAAAAGAGTTGACGACTACTTGCACATAGTTGAGTCATGGTCTGACTCCGAATTTAAGTCTCGTTTAAGACTGTCGCGAAAGACAGCTCTTCGGCTCATAGGTAATAAATGATCCATATTATTATATGCTAAGATAAAGTAAATTCTTAATATTTATTAATTGTTTCAGATGAATTAGATAAGTCTGGTTACATAGCTTCACATAAATTTGGATTGAAACCACTGGAACCCAAGCTTTGCTTTTACATATTTCTGTCATTTATTGCCAACACAGAACCACTCACTCCAATTGCAACACGATTTGATATATCAATATCTTCAACCTTTCGAGTTATAAGGAGAGTTGTAGCTTGGATATTGACAAAATTAAATGAAGCTATAAAATGGCCTACTGGTTATCCTGAAGTAAAGACAGTTTGCGAAGCATTTCACTCTAAAACTGGCATTTCAAATGTTTTAGGGGTAATTGATTGTACTCACATAAAAATTGAGAAGCCTAAAAATGCAACAGGATATTGCAATTCTAAAGGTTATTTTTCTATGATTTTGCAAGCAACCATAGACTCTAATTTAAGATTCACCAATATTTATTGTGGAGAACCAGGTTCTTTAAACAGTGCTAGGGTGTTAAGGAAGTCTCCACTATATACAATAGCCACCCAGAACAGAAATACTCTTCTTCCACATAATACTTTTCTTATTGGTCATTCAGGATACCCTTCACTTTCTTGGCTGGTGCCACCATTTAGGGAAAACAGTAGGTTAACAATACAGCAAAGAGATTTTAATACATTGCATGCTTCTGCAAGGAAATTAAGCAATAAAGCCTTTAATTCATTAAAAAGTCGCTTCAGAAGAATAAAATTTTTTACTGTTTATAGAAATATAGCCTTTATAACTGATGCTGTTGTAGCAGCATGTATTTTACATAACTATTGTGTTAGTGAAAATGATCAATTTATGGAATTTGAATAGTTTTTTATTTTTTATATATTATTTTTTAGTTTTCTATTTCAATTTTATACTTGTTTTAGGTGAAACATTTTTATAGTAGTGAACAGTAAAAGAAAATGTCTTAAATAATATTGATCATTTTATAAGCAAGACAACAGTGCAGGTTTTGTGAGTTGTCATAATTTCTTTTTTTATTAAAGTATCACATAGTTACCATACCAGGTAAAAATTGTTTTATTCCATAATGTAAGATTATCTAAGCCTATGAAAGATTTCCAATTTCCGAAAAAATTTATAATTCTTTACTTAGTTACTGAATTTAATCTTGTAAAACACACAAACATGTTAATTTTTTGATTTTAACAAACTAGTTATTTTGCTCTCATGATTCATGCACAAGTTTTCTTAATAAATCACATTTTTCTCTTTCTATTTTAAGAAATTCTTCCTGTTTTTTCTCTCGCAATTGCAGTTTTCTTATAGCTAAATTTTCTTTGATTTCCAGCTCTTTCTTCCTTAATGCCAATTCTTCTTCTCTTAACCGTAAGCTTCTCTCATATCTCTCCTCTCTTAATTGTTTTTGTTCCTCTTGTCTTTTTAAATATTCTAACCATTGTTTATCTAATTCTACTTTAGCTCTCCTTTCAGCTCGTAACTTTCTATAAGGTGATGCATTAGGAAAAATCATTTTTTTTTGTGTTTGATTCTTATCATTCTCTTGTAACATACCAGATGCCAGTCTATACACTTCATTATCATTATTATATCTTCCTAATATTTGGTGCATTTCATTAAAGTATTTGAAAGCCAAATTACCTTGACCATTTTCAATACAGTCTTTGTATTTTTTGGTAAGTGCATTAATTTTCCATCTTACTTGATCAGGAGTTACCTGCAATTACCATTAAAATTATTTATAAATATTTAGCATGATTCTGTGGGTACACATTTAATTTTGGTAAATTTAATTCAAATTTACGTTTTGCCTTTGATTACCTCAACATTTAAAGATTTTAATTCTTCAGCAATTGATAACCACATTTTTGACTTCTTTTTAGGATTGTCCAACATATGCATTTTTGTTTCATATAAACTTAGAAGTAACAATGTAGCACTCTTTGTCCAAATTATATCTAAAAACATATTGTTATTTCTTAACTATAGTATTTACTTTGTAATAATAATTAAAATATAATTTACACACTTTGCTTATTTGTTTCATTACTTTCAGCTTCTTCAGAATTCATAGGATGGGTATGATTGTAGTCTGACAGGGTTATGTTTTGCTTGTAGGGTGATGATGCTAGATTTCCACATGTAAAATAAATAAAGGTATTCCAAAATAAATTTCTATCCGTAAAAATATTTTGACTATTATTCGTACGTGTATACATTTAGTGAAACTAACTCTTACATTGACTTTCTAGCATGGCTAAAACAGCAACATTATTGTCCATACTCCCATCCATGATAATAAAGTATAAATATTTTATATAGTTATTAGCAACTTCTATATTAATGAATAAGCTGACGGTTCCACATTTTACGATAAACTAGACTGATATACATAATACTTATATTTAAAAAGAAGTTCGGTCATGGATTAACTTTTCAATTTTATTTATATCAAACCAAAAGTATTGGTTTGGTTTAGTGTAATCATTACTGACAGTGACATTGATTGTTTCAAGAACAGTGTTGTCATGTTATTATTATTAATTATATAAATTAATGTATTGATACAAAACAGATAGTGGTATTTTTTCACCCGATTTCAAAAAAGGAGGATGTAGGTTGTAGTTTATTTAGTTGTTTTTCTTTATTTTTGTTACTTTTAAACTTCGTCAACATGTTAATCATCAGCCTGCGGTTTTGTAAACTAAAAACATACCAAAATAAGTGCATCTTGCTTTATAATAAAAAAATCATTAGTATTAGAACTTTGACACTGGGGACTCCGAGAACTCCTCAAAATTAAATAAAAAATGCACTGGGAGTCAGATTTTAGAAGACGTAATGTTTTGAAACTATACTGAGTGAATATTACCATGTTTCATTGTCAATTATTACATTAATTTAAATAATAATTTATATAGGAATATAAATAATAATCAATATCAGTGAATTATATACGGGGACTTCCCCTTAAATCGTTTTTCTTTGGATACTTAGCTTGTTGAAGATTAACTTTGCATATTGCATTATGAGGTAGGTAAAGGAGTTCAAAGATGTCTTAAGGGGCCCATTCACTATCCTGCCTGGCAGTCCGCCGTGCAGGACTGCAAAGCAGGATGTAGCCCACACACTATCCTGCAAGCCGTCCATCGTCTCTCAATAGTGTCAGTGTTGTTATTGTAATAATTATGGATTTACGTGTCGTTTCGAAAAAAAGAAAAGAAAATGGAGATTTTTTCTTATTAGATAAAAGGTTTTATTAAAAAATAACCTTTCCTCACATTATCATACTAATATACATAAAATTTAAGTAATAACAAGCTTTTATCAAGTTAAACAATTTCAATATAAAATAGATTTTTAGCTTAGTTTTAGTTATCATATCAATCGCTTCCCGGGATGCACATGTTTTTTTTATGTTTAAAATAAAGTACCTATTCCTGTGTAGATTTTTTCACACATGGGAATAAAATTTAATTCCTAAAAATATTTCTAAAAAATTACCTCAAACAAAATTTCTATTGTAAATATGTACTGTCTAAATTTACGACAAAGGGCCACTTTAAGAGAAATAAACAAGATCCATTTTGTATTGTGACGCTATTAAAGATAACAAAAGAGGGAATTGTACTAATTTTTTTCCTACAGAGGATATGTTAAAAAAAATCAATTAAAAATGAAGTTAATATTGAAGAATCGATAAACTTTTTTTTAATCATTATTTGTTTTGTGGATTTTCTTATTTGGATATGTCAAACCCATGAATTCATAAATTTGGAAGAGGAGTATTAATGCCTGTTAAAATCAAAATTTTAGAGTGTACTGTATTTTTTTACAGATACCTTTTTTATAGAGATCCTTTTATTTTTTTTACAGAAATCTTTTTATCATACCCAAATACAGCCACCAGGTTTGTTTGAGTTTGACAATTGACAGTTTCGACGTTGACGTGACACAGAGTTGATACTAGTATAAATAAATGATAAAATAACTTTTTATCCTTGGTTATAACCAAGTTTCTTTAATCAAGAAATCTACGATGGCTAGCTGTGGTGATTTCATTAAAAGTCAATTTCCTTTAATAGACGAAGACCTAAAAAAATATGTGGAAGGTATGTTCTTGAGGTTATGTAGCGATGTAAATTTTATTATAATGCAAATATTTTATAATATATTAATTTTTCATTTCCATGGTCTATTTGCATGCATAAAAGTCAAGCGGTGACTAAAATTGGTGATAAATTATAATTGATAAGTAATATAACATTGTTTTAGATATCTTGGACAACAGTGCTGGCGAATTCGAAGATACCGAAGAAGTCTATGAAGCAGTCGGTGAAGTTTTACAGGGAATATCAGAAAAATCAGAAGACGATATAAGGTGAAAGAATGAATATTGAAGTAGTTGTCATGAAAATAATATGTTATTTGATAAATCAAACATAGTTCTATAATATTCATAGTATATATTATTTATTTTAGGGACATATGTGAACAATTATTACATATGTTGCAACCCGATAAAACAGGCAATGGTAAAGGACCAAGAAAAGTTTTAGATGCTCCTATACATTTAGCTTCAATGACCACTACCATTAATGAAACTGATGATCTCAAGAGTATATGGCTACAAACTAGAGATGACAATTTTGTAAGTACATAGACTTTCTTTTGGTATGTTTAATTTAGAAATTAATTTTGTGTAATTTGAATAGTTTTATAAATTGTTCTTTCTTAAATTATGCTTGTGCAGTGTAAATGTGAAATGTGTTCAACACACATATAAGCTGATTATCTAATCTTTATGCATCATTTTACAGAAAGTAGATGCTAAAAAGTTAGAAAAAGCGGAGGCAAAATTGCAACAGAAACAGCAAAAGCAGAAGGATGCCAAAGTACCTGTCACTGCTCCCGTGTTACAAACGGCAACAGCCTCACAGGTTACCTCCAAGAAGGATAGCAAGCTTGAAGCTAAGGGTACAAACAGGACTCAAGATATAAGAATAGAAAATTTTGATATTGCCTATGGTGATAGGTAAGTGTTTTTCTTCTTTTTATTCATGTTATTTATCATATTAAGTTTATTCAAATAGTAAAAGCAATAAAAATAATAAAAGCAATGTATACTGTAGTTCAAGCTAATTTTTAATAAATAATCATGATTATGTTGTTTAAATCCAGAAAGGTTCTTATTAACAAAGAAGGGCTTATTATTTGTTTATGTTTTTTAACATAACTTTTATTGTAATTACCAAATCTATACAGCGTGTCGCTACCATCGCGACAATAAATGAACACACGTCTAACGCTACTTGCCAATAATCATAAAAAAATATTAACGTTAAACAAAATTTATAATTAAAAAAAAATATTTTTCAAACAAACTAATTAAGTAAAAAAGAAACAAAATTTGTAACACCTATACAACTCGCGCCACAGCGTCGCATTACAAGCCTCTCCTTCTAACAGTATGTTTTGTCTCTTTTAAATTCATTCAACCCATTCATATGCTTTGTGACCTTTACAAATGAACTTTACGTTACGCTTTTATAGGTAAGGATGTTCTAAAATTCTTTGTTTTGCAAAATTTAATAACTCTGTAAATATTGATGTTTAAAGAATTTAAATGTTTAATACAACTTTAAAAAGTTATCCCCTATATGTGTGTTCATTTATTGTCGCGATGGTAACGACACGCTGTATAATAATTTAATTTTTCTAAATTATTACACAAGGACTCTTAAACATTTTGCTATTCATTTTAAATGGTTTTTAAATTTGTTATTTCATGAGTTCATTAATATTGAATGGTCCAAGTACACAGCATTCTTTAAATATTTTCAGAGTTCTATTACAAGGTGCAGATCTTGTCCTAGCATTTGGCCGGAGATATGGTCTAGTAGGACGTAATGGTCTTGGTAAAACAACATTGCTTCGAATGATTTCTGCAAAGCAATTAAAAATACCATCACATATATCAATATTGCATGTTGAACAGGAGGTAGTTGGAGATGATACACTGGCATTACAAAGTGTTTTAGAATGTGATACTGTAAGAGAGAACTTATTAAAAAGAGAAAAGGAAATCACTGCTGCAATTAACAATGGGTGAGTGATGAATTATGCTTTGCTTGTGATTATTTGCAACCTATTATATCATTGAGGCTAAACAGGCCTGTCTTTCATTGTTAATTTTGCTACATCCAAAATTGTGGACGAATAATGTAATACTCATAGGTGAACCCCACTGAGCTCTCAAACAAAGACCTCTGAGTCAAAGCCACTACTATTATTTCTCTAGATTTCTTCTGGTCATCTCGGAGCTTGCATTTCATCAGATGGTAAGTGATAACTGGCACCCATGGACAAGAATGCCGGGTTTTGCCCTCCACCTTCTAAGATAGTGAGCAATAGCAATCACACGAAACACAGAAAGTGCTATATTTCCACTTCACACCTTCTTTGAAATTGAGGTACTTCCCCGGACAAACCTCCAATTTGTGCAACAATGATGACTGCTGCTTGGCCCTACCAGTTTTGTTTGATAATGTTGAAAGATATTTTTGTTTACAGTCTTAAAAACTATGTAAAAGTTTACTAGACACAGAGCCCACACAAAGGCTGCAGTTTTCATGAGCTATACAGACATGAAATATTGCCCTGTGGGCTAAAAATTTATATTTTAAATTTCTTAGTACACAGGCTATACTTTTATTTTTTCCAGACTCTTTACAGAAACAAATTTCACTTAACAAAAACCCTGATCTGGAACAACTATTTGTGGATCACATAAATACTTGTCCTTTGTGGGAACCTAATTCACCCACAGTGCTGAAACCTAGTTGGTGATTAGCATAGCTACTTTTAATATACCAACCAAGCACTTGACAGTATTTGAATAAATTAATTTTTGATTTCTATTCAAAATAGGTCAACAGATACAACATTATCGACAGAATTAAGTGAAGTGTATGCGCAATTAGAAAATATCGAGGCAGATAAAGCACCAGCACGGGCTTCGATAATTCTGAGTGGTTTGGGTTTTACAACGGAAATGCAGAGCAGGGCAACAAGAACATTTTCCGGAGGATGGAGGATGAGGCTAGCATTGGCACGCGCCTTATTTTCAAAGTGAGTCACTAAATTTAAAATCATAATAGCTATGATGTCATATTTAATTTTTATTAATTTTCAACATTCAGGGTAGATAAAATCAATTTGTATTCCATTACACATTTGTTGCAATTTTTGCATTGTAGTTACAAAGATGAAGTGAAGCGTGTAAAAAACATATTTTTTAAGTCTTACTATAGACTATTTTTAATGATAAGGCTTTATTTATTACTATTTATTATTCTTTGAAATTAAATTGTTAAACAATTATTAGTTATGTACAAACAAAAAAGAAATAATTTAGAGCTTCTTATAGTATTCATTTAATATCCCATACAAGACTTGATCAATTCCTTTTTGGATTCTGTTGTATATTAAATGATGATTGTAAATAAAAACCGGTTTCCTTAAGAAATAGCATATTTATACAAGCAACTGCAAGAAACAAAAAACATACAATAAGGTATGTTTAATAAACATTGTTCTATGATATTACATTATACAAGATGTTGATGTTGCATCATATTCAATAGTTTTATAAATATATATATAATCGGAATCTCGGAAACGGCTCCAGCGATTTTCATGAAATTTAGTATGTGCGTAGATTCGGGGGCGAAAAATCGATCTAATTATCTCGTGATTGATTGGTCTATCAGTCGTATACATACAGTGTATAGGACCATCATGCTTTATGGATTGGGTTCAAATCCCTAAATTTTTTGTTGTACTTATTGTTGATTTTCTTATTTGGAAGTATTTCTTAATTACCATTTAATTATTGCTGATTTTTTTATTTTCATAAATAATTAAAACGAAATATTATTGTAGGGACGGCGTATCTGTTTTTTCTGTAGCTAGATAAAGGACATGAGCTCATTTTTTTCTATTTTATTAATAACAACGCATTGATTTCGGCCAGATAATTAAGATGATATCCATCGTTGAGTAAGGTGATATCCTTACCATAATAAATTCCAAAATAAAGATGTCAAAGGCACAGCAGTATCTGGTGTAATCTCATACTTGATGCTTATTTAAAAATCCAACAAAGCAATAATCACTTTTTGTCATTTAATTTTTTTCAGACCGGACTTATTGTTACTTGACGAGCCCACTAACATGTTGGACATAAAAGCTATCATATGGTTGGAAAACTACCTACAGAACTGGCCCACGACGCTCCTAGTGGTCTCCCACGACAGGAATTTCCTTGACACTGTTCCAACAGACATTCTTCATTTGCATTCCCAGAGGATAGACACATACAGGTAATTACAACATTTATCCTACTACAATATTCTTTGTCATAACTAATGTTCGTACATAAGTTGAACAGTTACGAAATAGCCAAGTGCATCTTCCAATGTGGATTGTTCATCTCATTTACTGCAATTTACACTGAATGCTTCGTACGTATCGTATGTTCGAAACATAAATGCTCCTGTGAAGTTGGTCTGTGACGTTGTGCAAAGCACAATATAATAATAATGCTATCATTATTTATATATACAGTATTTGGGAAATACTCTCCGTATTGCCCTTACTTTCACCCGCTCCGCCATCCTTTTCTATAGGATGGTGTACAATTGCGAACAACCTCGTTGTACTTTAAACATTAGGTAGTTGTTGTTAAGAGACGAGTCGACTTTTGTACGCGACTGTACATTCGCAATCCGTTCCAGGGGTAATTATGAGCAGTTCCACAAGACGAAGACTGAGAAGCATAAGAACCAGCAGCGTGAATACGAGGCGCAGCAGCAGCAGCGAGCTCACATGCAGGAGTTCATCGACCGTTTCCGCTACAACGCCAACCGTGCCTCGTCGGTACAGAGCAAGATCAAGATGCTCGATAAACTGTGAGTACTCGACTCAGAGCTCTGTCGTCAGAAAAAACTGACAAGCAGCCATGGATCTCTGTGTCGAAGTATTGCCATGTCCGTTGTTTGACCCTAGACCTAGATAGACATTGAGAGCACAATCAAGCTACAGATGTACTGTGATCACTTCTTGCCCAAGGCTATAAAGCGCTCATAGCAAAATCTCATACTCCATCCTCGTGTCCTCAGAGAGACGCTCATGCTGTATAGAAATGAATCATTCAATTATTAAGCTAATTAACTTATAATTATTCATAATTCTGGTTACTTTCCATAAATTAAATTGTTTATGTTTCGTCATTGAACTCTATTATAGATTGATAATCCTCAAGTAGTTTCAGTAATTCACAATATAGTTATTTTTGTAGCGTTAAGACCACAGGAAAAAGAGTTGCTCCAATAAATAAAATAGTATGTCGTATAATTTGATAGTACCGTCGTGTAATTTGTTCCTTCCTTTCATTTCCAGTCCCGAATTGAAGCCAGTAGAAAAAGAGCTTGATGTTCAACTGAGATTTCCCGAGACTGAGCCGCTCTCTCCGCCTATATTGCAGCTTAACGAAGTGGGCTTTTACTATTCTAAGGACAAGGTCATCTTCTCTAACGTCAATCTTGGCGCCACATTGGAGTCTAGGATATGTATTGTAAGTTTTCTACAACCACTTAAAGCCGATTATTTGCTCTGTATTAAAACCTAACACTAAGCACCCAGTGATAGTTTGAAAACTAAGTCTATATACCATTATAAACTTAAGTCTATATACCATTATATAGTGATAGTTTGAAAACTAACATATCTGATATGTTTACATGAAGTTTATATGAGTCTATATACCATTATATCTATACCATAGTGTATAAAGGCTAGTAAATACATAAAATAAACGTATGGGGAAGGTAATGTTTGTTCATTATTTATTCTAGCTGAGGGAAATAGAAGTAATTTATATTATAGCACAATAAATATAGACAATTAAAAAACGAAATAGAGAACCACTTGAGGGATATGTGTAAAAATTATTGTTATAAAAAATTATCATAATATATATTACACTAACTGTTCTATAAATGATCCAATGCTTCGAAACGACGCCAAAGTCGGTACCTGCCTTTGTTATTACAAGTGAAGGCATTTATTATACCATATTTAAAAATCAAGGCTGTGTCTCCAGTTTTATCTGTTTGCAATTCTAATGGCGATGCAATTGAGTGCGATACAATTATGCATGCAATGTTTGCCTTGATGTCGCTTCCCGCGAGTAAATAGCGGTCTTGAACTGTTTACTCAAACTCATTTTCTTGCTTCTAGCTTGCTTCGCTTTACTAGCTTTGTCTCGTTTACATCTAATATAGTCACATTGAATTCTTAAAATTATGTTTCCTTGTTTGTTTGACTATACATATTTATAGATATGTATTAATTTGTTTATTTTTATCATAGCCATATATCTGTAAATTATTTTTCTTAAATATTTTATGAAATTATTTATATTTTCTTGAAGTTTAAATTTTATAGTGTTAATCTGAGAGTTTCTCGCCGCTGTGGGAATCGAACCCACGTCTTCGGGATCCGCGCCCTGACGCTTTAGCCACTAAGCTAAACGGTCGATTGCCACACCGATTGTCTTTTATCTATATTTTGTTTAGCATTTGAAACAATGACTGGCACATTGTTATATCCTTTCCAGTATACAAACAATTTCGAATATCGTTTCAAAACGATAATTCGAACGAGCGATGTTGCCTTTTCTTTTTCATAAATTTAATTTTTTGTAGTGCTAATCACTGCACTTAAAATTAAGCATTAAAACTTGTACAAAAAATACGAAAAGAAGTTTCTCGCCGCTGTGGGAATCGAACCCACGTCTTCGGGGTTCGCGCCCTGTCGCTTTAGCCACTAAGCTAAACGGCTGATTGCCACACCGAAAATCTCAACGTCTTTTATCTAAATTTTTTATTAGCATATGAAGCAATGCGATGCGCCAAATCAATTTAGTAATCAGCCGTTTAGCTGAGTTGTATATGTATGGAGAATGTTTAAGCAAAAGACACAACCAACTCCTTTTACTTCTTTTCACCTAACAAATCGCTTAGTTTGTACACAACTGAATAGTCTTTTCCCACATCTGTATTTACTAATACATTCACTTTAGGTTGGCGATAATGGCGCCGGGAAGACAACGCTGTTGAAGATCATCATGGGCATCCTGTCACCTACGAGTGGGGTGCGCAGTGTCCATCGGGGTCTCAAGTTCGGATACTTCTCCCAGCATCACGTGGACCAGCTCGAAATGAATGTGAACTCGGTAGAGTTGCTGCAGCGAAGCTATCCAGGTATATCTAAAGTAAAGTAACAGCCTATACATGTCCCACTGCTGGGCAAAGGCCTCCTCTATACAGAGGGTATCAGGGCATAGTCCACCACGCGGCCCCACTGCGGATTGGCGGACTTCACATATCTTCGAAATATATTTTTTTTTTTTTTGTTATTATTTCGAAAATATGCAGGTTTCCTCACGATGTTTTCCTTCACCGCGGAGCACGTGATAAGTCAGCACTTAAAGTTAAAAACTTCATTGGTGCCGGCACCGGGGATCGAACTCAGGTTGCTCGAGTATATTGAATTAAAGGCGAGCGCCCGGACACTGGGCTATCACGGCTCTTCCAGGTATATCTAATTATACTAAATTTAGTCTTTATGCACAACAAAAAAAAATTGTACAATGTCGGAATTTAATGCGATCAGCATTACCTACTAGTTAAATTATATATTCTCGCTGAATTTATCTTAGACCTAGTCACGACAGATAGTCACCATATAATAAATACAATGACCACAAATACATCAAAGACTTTTATAAATGTATTTACACTACAATACAAATTATTCTTCTAGTAATGCAAATGATTATTGACTGAGTTATTAAAATTGAGAAATTTAATTCCATGCGTAGTTTGATACTATCTACGAATTCTATTTTTTATCATTATTTCGAAAATATGCATGCTTCCTCACAATTTTTTCTTTCACTTCTGAACATATGATAGTCAGCACTTTAAATTGCAATTGACAATATCATCTGGCACCGGGTTTTCAATTATATTGATTTAAAAAGGAGCGCCCGGACACTAAGCAACCACAGTTCTAATTCATATCTCATAACCATGTATATATTTAACTCTCTTTTCACGCCACTGTTAACATCATTTTAATTACCGTCTATAATTGCCTGGTATAAAATATTATAATACAACAGTCACTAAAAATGTGTAAGTTCATGGAACTGTTAGATAATTATAATATTTTAACTCGTTTAAAGGCAAACCGATAGAAGAATACAGGAGACAACTGGGCAGTTTCGGCGTGAGCGGCGATCTCGCCTTGCAGACAATAGGGAGCTTGTCCGGAGGTCAGAAATCCAGGGTTGCATTCGCCACAATGTGTATGGGCAACCCCAACTTCCTGGTGCTCGACGAGCCGACGAATCATTTGGACATTGAGACTATCGAGGCTTTGGGCAAGGGGATCAACAAGTACACGGTAAGGCGATATACGATGTTTTTAAGTTCGGGCATAGATGTCGCTGTAGTACCTTTTTTTTTTTTCGTTTAAGAGTATTATTCTGCTATTTTATACCGATCGTAACGACACAAACGTTTCAGCGTTTATTAAAATTAAAAAAAAAATCAAAATGTTCGTTTAAATTTCAATTAAAAGATATGTACATTTTAAAAATTAGAATAGTATCGGGACAGGTTCCCTGCCACAAATCTATTCGTAGTTAACTTATTAATTGATCGTACTTTTGAGTCCCAATCGTTTGTCACATTATCGAATATTAATAGGTATCGAATATCGAATAGTAATATTATTATTTTATTCGTTAAATGACTTGGCGGTGCAGTTGCATAGCCATGTGATCAGCGCCGGGGTTCGTGGTTCGATTCTCACACGACACAATTGTTTTTGTGACCCACAAATGGTTGTTTCGGATCCGAGTGCTAGGCCACGTGAAATTTATGTATGTAAAACGTAATTCATAATAATCCTATGGTACATGGGCAACGTTTTCGAAGGGAAGAATGCAATAGGTCTTTCTAGTTCACAGTAGTTGGAACCCTTCAATACAAATAAATACAAATCTCTCGTTCAAATTATCATTGTAAATGTTGTATGATATTCGAAATTGTTTGTATGCTGGAAAGGATATAAGAATAGGTGGGCCAATTTTTTTCAATTGCTCAACTATTACTATTACTCAAATACTAAAAAAAAAAACGATTTTCGTCGGTGTGGCCATCAGCCGTTTAGCTTAGTGGCTAAAGCGTCGGGCCGCGAATGCCGAAGACGCGTGTTTGTTTCCCACAGCGGCGACAATCTTTTCGCATTTTTTTTACAAATTTCAAAACACAAATCTCCACAGGGCGGCGTGATATTGGTGTCCCACGACGAAAGGCTGATACGGATGGTGTGCAAGGAGTTGTGGGTGTGCGGCGGCGGTTCCGTCGCCAGCATAGAGGGCGGTTTCGACGAGTACCGAAAGATCGTCGAGAGGGAGCTAGAAGCGCAGAACAAATGAAAGCGCGACTCGACCCTGAAACACTTTGTAATCTGTGTAAAAAGTATTCCTAAATTATATTTCGTTACATATACACACACACACACACACATATATATATATATTATTTATACACGCAAATAAATTCCCCTTTATTTACTCTAAGCGCAAGCGAAACGATGACGTTATTGGACGCCGAACCAGATTCGTCAGACGCGTGGAGAGGTGAATCTGTTTATGCCACAATATATTAGAGCTGTCTAGATAAGTAGATCAATAGTGCTGCCTTAAGAGTTACGAGTAGACTTAGTAATGTCAACTTGACATTGTCAAGGATGCTGATATATTATCAGGGACACCTTTTTAGGTTTGAAAATCGAAATGTTATGGCAATATTATATATAGATTAGAATAGTATTGGACTACAAAGTATAGTATCATCATGTTGGTCGCGAGAAAAAGCTGTTATGTAAAACGAAAACTGCTAATGGTAGAATAAAAACGATGAAATAGTAGCCCATTCTGAAATCTCCATGACAACTGTAAGTAATGAAGGATATCATACAAGTGTGGGTGTAAATTAAACTCTGATATTTATTATGCAAATTTTTATTTTATACCTTCAACCATCCTCTGTCTTCATTAAATAATTTTAGCATACAATTCCATAAAGAATCGGAAGTACTCGCAATTAAAATGGCAATTAAAAAAAGTTAACTTAAAAAAAAATGAATATTTACAAATCATAAATTCGATTACAGAATATACATTTAAAATAGTGACTAATGTAGCAACGGAATAGAGTTAAAAGATAAAACCTATTCACTTCAAAATGCCAAATTAATTCATTACGTAAGCTAAATAACATTCAGCAGAATACTTCATCATACATGCTTTGTATTTTGTTTGTATTAATTTAAATGCAATTATCATATATATTTAGACGCTTTACGACGCAAAAACTACGGAATGCGATATCGGAGGGGTATTTTACTATTGTTATAGGGAATGAATATTGTATTTTTCTTCGGGGGCTGTTTAATCGTTGGATGCGTATAAAACTACACATGTTTCATGGCATTAAAACGATTGTTCGCGAGTGTTGTTAGGATAGAACGTAAAACGTAACGCTAGCAGATCACAAAAACATCTAAACTAAACGTGTCCAGTTGGCAAAGACGAACGGCGGTGCGGTCGCCCGTCTCGCGCGTTGCGAGTTGTTCGGTTGCAGCAAACGGCCGCCTACTGGTGTTTCTTGCGGCGGTTTTTCGTCTTATCCGCGTTCCTGAGCACCTCCGCGTAGGAGAGCTCCAGCTTCCTCAGCTTGTGTATCTCCTGGGAGGCGGTGCTCTGCTTCATGTCCCACGTGTCCGTCTCCGAGTTCCAGCCCTGGTAGATGTTGCCGGTGCGCCCGCTGCTCGGTGTCGGCGAGTGGACCATGTTGCGGTTGTAGAACTGCACCGTGTTGCCGTTCCACTCGGTCTCGCTGGCCCTCACCAGCGGGCTGGCCTCGATCGGCCTGTAGTCGCGCCGCTTCCTGTTCGACTGCTTCTGGTACGTGATCTTGGGCGGCGTCGGGAACACGGGCGAGTCGGCGCCCTGCCGCTCCTGGCTCTGTTTCCTGTTGCGGTGGCGCGACTTCTTCCTGGTCGCCGCTATGTACTCGAGCGGCTGGCGCACGAGCGGCGTCAGCACGCGCTCCTTGTCGTTCTCCTTCTCCCTTTCCTTCTCCTTCTCCGTCTCCCGCTTGTTCTCGTCCGCCGTTTTCTTGCGCTCTGCCCCCTTCGCCCGCTCGACGTGCGCCTCCGTCGCCGGCTTGCTCTCTTCCCGCTTCCTCTCGGTCTCCTGTTTCTTAGCGGGCTCCGCTGCGGGTATCTCCATCTCCTTCAGCGTCGGCGTTTCCGGTGCCGTCATGTCGGATACAGGAAGCGATTGCTCGGACATCGCGGAAGAGAGCACGCTCTGTGTGTCGTCCGTGAAGTTGCCCAGCGGCTCCTCGGTGGCCGGCGTCACGGGTGGCACCTTGTTGGCGGCGGTGTCGTCGAGGAGTGGCAGCCTCTCGCCCTCGTCCTTATTCTCCGCGGCCTTCTTGAGGATGGTGAATATCTCCTTGAACAGTTCGCGGTACTCGGGCCTGTTGCGGAAGCGGCTGTCCATCGGGCTGACGTCGTCGTAAATGCTGAACCTGTAGTCCTCGCCGTCGGCGATCGTGCACAGGAATGAGCCGGGCCTCTCGCGCTCGGTCTGCGTGGCTTTGTTGCTCGTCTCGTCGGAGAATCCCGAGCTGGAGGTCTCCGCTTCGGAGAAGTCCGGCGTCTGGATGATCTTCTTGCGCGAGGTCGGCTCCGCTTTCTTGGGCTGGTTGTCCTTGGGCGCCTCCTCGCCGTGCCCGCTCTCCTCGTCGGTGTCCTTGACGCTGAACTGACTGTAGTCGCCTGACGTTTGCAGCGCGTCCTGCAGCGAGAGCGGACCGGATTGGTTTTGCGGCGGCGAGCTCTCCTTGTTCTTCCTTATATTCTTAACCTGTGACAGCTGCACCTCCAGGAGTGCCTCGTACTTCTGCACCAGCTCCCTGTAGGGATTTTCTTGGCCGTCGTCCTTTTTCGCCCATATACCCTGGAGTAATTTTTCCTTGGCATTCTGCAATACAATGGTATCATTTTTAATTTTGCTGCGGAAATAGGTTCTTTGCGATGTGAAGTACTTAGTTACACAAAAATGACTGTAGTCACGACTGTGAACTAATATTATAATCTGAGACCAGTAGTAGTATTTTAATGCAGGTTAATTTTTTATAATGATTCCGAGAGTTACTGTGATATGATAATTAAATTATTTCTTAAAGTTTAAAAATATTTCATATATTTTATTATTGTGAATGCATAATATGATTCGTATATTGAAGAGTAATTAATAAAAGACTAGCGTTAGTTCTGTGACGTTCGTAATTGCACATTAGTCAACATTACAGCCGTTAGTTACTCCACAAGTACATTCAAAGGAAACTCATACACAAGCACCAACATAAGAGCTACTTTAGTGAACATCTCAAACAGTTAGTGCGTCTCTAACCAAACATATCAGTATAACATTCAAGTAAAACATTAAATTTCAAATTAAGAGCATTCCAACATTAAATTGACACGCTCAATGGTTTGATGGCCGTCACCGATGCTTCCGTTAGTGGTGCATTCCCCACGTCTATAGTAACGTGTCAGTAATGGACGTACCTTAGACTACATACGATATATCCAAAGAAAACTACTGCAAATGCGCTTCATAATGCATATGCAAAGCGTGATCAACAACATCAGGGGTAGTTGGAAAAGCTTTGTCGCCTAGAAACCACGAAACATTCGTATGAGATTTCGGTCGGTCGCCGTCCGCGCTCCAATTTAAATAACCAATCATCTATTTTGTGGTATATATAAATGAAATGTAAAAAGATTGCAAGAATTTCATACGATTATAAGTTACGTATTCAATTTTAACTACTAAACAGGGACATGAAGGCACTGAATGTTTCATTTCCAGCATAAAACTCATAATGTTAGTTATTGTTAGTTTTTGTTTGCACGAAAACTGCGAAGACGTGAGTTAATATCGTTAATTAAGTAAACAGACACGATAAAGTAGAATCTACACTAAGGGATCATGTTAATTTGGAACAATAAAAGTATTATACATAGAGATAAGGAAGCTAAAAGAGTATACTCGACTGAGCATGCATTAGGACTAAGTGAATCAATAGGGTACATACGTCGAATTTGATAAGTTTGCTGGTGACGTGATCCTCTCTAGGGCTGTCTTGGCCAGTTGGCGTTAGGATCAGCGAGCTGATCGCGCTCCTATCGTCATCATCACCATCGAGAATAGACGACATGTCGTCGCCCCTTTCAACGCCTCGTAAGCATCTGATGCAAAGCTGCCCTTGTCTGAAAATATTATGATGTAAATTATTTTCTTTCATTAAATCAGAGTAAGAGTTATATTCTAAACTGTTATTTATATTTAAATAATTTGTATGAGAAAGTAATTTGAAGCACAAAATCGTCTCGAAAGCCGCTTTTTGATGTTGCTGAGGCTGATAAGGTTTCATTTAAATAAATTTCTCGCTAGAACCATCAGAACAGTTAGTTTATATTTTATTATAAAATGGTCTTATTACCATTTCAACTTTTATAGTTGCGTGCCTTAAAATATTGCCTAAAACTCGACTCAAATGAAACAATTCACAGCTTCGTGTACCTGTTCAAACTGTCAAAATGTACATCAGTCATAGGCATCGGCATCGACGACGTCATTTAAGTCCGTTCATAAATAAATGTACAAAGGAACACAAATATAGACCGGGACACAAATAACGAAGGAACACAAATGTAAGGGACACAAATATCGTCCTGTTCGTTCCGCCTCACCTCACTTCGTCCAGAATCGAGAACTCCTCGTGCATGGACTTCGGCTCGTCGTCCCGCTGGTGCCAGTTCCTCATCTGCTCCTGCAGCCTGTTGTTCTCCTGCACCATCGACGCCAGCTGCTCCTCGAGCTCTGTCACGCGGCGCTGCTCCTGCGCGAACGCCGCCTTGTTCTCCCTCAGCTCGTCGCTCAGCCTGAGCAAATCCTCATCCTCTTTAGTCAGCTCGGGAATGGGCGAAACCTTCACTGGAGTGCTGTTCACGCTAGGCCTCTTTGTATTCTGCGCGACCGTCTCCACTGGTTTGCTCTCCTTCTCCCTAGGCCTGTCCACGCCGTCCGGTTTCCTCTCGGCCCTGCGCCTCACTATCTCCAGCTGGGCGTTCAGGTCGTCCACAGTCTTTTGAAGCTCCTCGCACCTCCCCTCCAGGGTCTCGATGTTCGAGCATAATCTGATAACGGAAAGGTTATAAAGTGTACACCATACTCGATCCGTGACAAACTATGAACATAAGCCGTTTCTTAAAACAAAGCACACGATTTTTTTCAACCCGTAGTTAAGGCTGCAGTTTGTCCACTAGAGCGTGAGCGCGCATATTTAATTGTACACGAACCTTGGAAGGCGTTAAAAGCAATTTTAATGGGCGCATTTGTTCGTTATGTTCACTTCTCATCTACAATTCACTCGAAGGCATCCATATTAATTATCTCGCCTAGTAACGACGCCATCTAGAAACTGTATGAATGTAGGCTAATCATTATTGTTAATCTTATTAGAGGATTAGGATTAGTTTAGCCAAACTGAAAGGCTTGAAAGAAGAATTCAGCCTTAAAATAATGACTGGGCTTGGAATCGAGGTTCTTCGTAAAAATATTATCTATTTTACGTTCGTAAACGATTACAAATATTCAGTGAACGCTGAGCAACGAAATTACTTAGAGTATACAGTACAGTAGTTTTGTATTGTTTGTCGAAAGTGGACTGTTTTAATTAGATTTTTTTATACACTCACGTTTTGATGTGCTTCTTATCGGCGGCATGATCGACGGCTAGCCTGTGATTTGCGCGCTCCAAGTCTTGGATGCTAACCTCGAGCTGCTCGTATATCCTCAGTCTTGAGTCGTTGACCTCGCGCAACGCGACCGTTTGCTTTGTTAGGTACTGCGAACGAATTAAATATGAACAACACTAAAACTCAGTGGGAGTAAAGTATTTTATGAACATCGCTACTACTGAAATTGTTTCGTATGTATGTTAGGGAAAGTTTACAGCATTTAATGAATACACGATCTACTTGAAAATGCTTCGTTATATTCTATTAAATGTTATAATAATTTTAATTTATGTAACCTGCATTATTCAATATTAGATTTTCGACTTTTGTTTAAATTATTCTGCCTTTTTATGAATTATTTATAGTAATATGTTAACAGTTGTAAATGAATAAGTGACACTAACAGGAAGTTGGAAATTTATGCAGCTCTAAATTTTAAACTGAGAAAAATTTAAATATAAAAGAAAAGAAGACTTACCTCGATTTCTTGCGCTTGATCCTCAATAACATTCTGATGCTGGCGAAGAGCTGTCTCCAATTCTTTGTTCCTTTCTAATAGGGTCTTCCCCAGTTCTGCAGCGAGCTGCAAATCTGCGAAATAATATAAGTAATAATCATTCATACCGCTTTTTTCGATTTATCATTACCAATACGTTAGCTAAAAGAAACTCAACCTTTGAAAGATCAAAGGATAATTTTATAGACTTATACAATAAACGAGTACAGTAATAAATTATTCAAAATATCATATAAGTTAATTCGAAGCTATGGTGTGTATGCACACCATTGTGCTATCGTAACCTTCGCTTCGTTCTCAATATCTAATGATAGAATTACGAAATTCACCAACACTTTGGTTTAAAATAATTCTCAAGGTTAATGAGCAACCTATCTGTATAGGCCGCCATTTCTTATGCACGGCTTAGTGGGGTTCGGAATTTCATGCCAGTTGCGTCAGGAGTTCGCCGAGGCGATGAGAGGATAGCTTACAACGGCAACGCAGCAACGCAATGTGCAGACGCGTTCCACTTTGTCGTACAACTGGTGAATGATTCATCTGGTAACTTTTTAAACGGAACTAGGTATGTACCGGTGTCGCGTCGGCGAGAATTTATAATGGATTCGTTCGATATCAACGCGGAGGAATAAGCGATTTTTACATTTATCCTATAAGTTTCTCTAATTTTAATGACAATAAGTAGAATAAAATATTCAGCTCGAAGGACACGACCATGACAAAACTTTTGCAGTGCTCGCGTAGGATGTACCAGGAAGTAGTCTTTGTGTATGAAATATAACTTCATTAAAAATATTTAAACTTATAAGTTGAATATAAGTAGGTACTTATGCAATAAACGATATACACAGGTTGTAAGCATTAGTTCCTTCCAAAATACATCTATCTATGTATGAAGTGAACTTGTAAAGTGTATCATGTAAATTATCATGTTTAAAAAACAATGTTTTACAAATATTTCAGATATAAGTTATATAGAAAAATTAAGAGATTATGTACCGAATGTAAGTTATTTCACCATGGATATATTTTAAGCTTTATGACCCACTCGCTACAATTATTATTCGTAAATAAATAATTCGTAATACACCTAACAAATTAAAGTAACGGAGTTAAAAAAAACTTAAGAAATGAGTTGAAGTTATCGACTGTTGCTGAAAACTCAGTAAGAAATTATATAATAACACGGGTTACGTTTTTATTACGGAACATTAAATTCTGCACGCATTCCAGTTTAAAAACTATTTATGTAAGAAATGGATTTACATACTGAAATTGGCATAAACTATTGAATGTTTAATGTAAGCATAAAGTGTTAGGAAAAAATTATTATAGTAATTTTTTTGGAGTTTGGAAATCGAAAATGTTACAAACAAAGGTTGGGATTAGCCGAACTAAATGGTCCTGTTTTGCTTTGATCTATTTTACAAGCTATTTTTTTATTAAAATGCAGTAGTTTTTTTTATAAAAATCAGTACATTTTTATGAATGAAATATACAGTAAAAATTAGTATGTAATATATACATATTATATACTAATTTTTATCAATATTGAAAAGTCAGTACATCCCAATGTAACTATCAAAATTATTCTTACATTTAAAACTATGCTTCATATAACAATTTGTCATTTTTGTGCTTTTATTTAATATCTATAGATATACTGCATTGCTTTATGGAGATTTACTTTATCAATTCTGTATCTTTATTTATGTAGTAAGCACAAATTCATTATCATCGGTTTACGATGTTTTGCAATTTTGAATCAATATTACATTATTTTAATATTTGAAGTTAACTATAATATTGCAAGAAAGTCATTTCCACGTTTCGCTGTTTTTCCTACAAGGGCTAACTTATTTATTAGTTACACAATATTTATTATTTAACGGGAATACAACGGGGTAAAAATTAGTAGGCTGTAGTAGAAATTCAGCTGATCAGTAGCCCTCTTTGAAATCAATGAATCTACATCAATTAGTGAACCGCTTAAAAATGTGTGTGTTAGTAAATATAGCAATAAACACTCTCATATACATTATTAAAAATACTTGGCAATGCTTTGTTCATAGTTATAATAATTATGTAGTACGCCTAATGTATTTAATGTTCTACTTTTCATTAGATTACATATATTTAGTTAAAAGAAATATTTTTATTTTAAGTAAATGATTATTATTACATAAATGAATTTAATTAGAATTATCTTTAATTTATTTACTTCCTCGTCTAACAATTAATGATTGCCTTAAAAGATTCGAATGAATTTTATTTTTGGGCTTTAAATGGTTTTCAGGTTCGTAAATAAAGCAACCCATTTTTTTACTTATACTATTCCAACTCTGAATTTTTTTCGTTCTTGGTAAACTTACACCAAGATTGATTTGGACGTTAACAATGTACGATTGGAGTATTTCTTACGTGTACAAGTACCTATTTCGTATGGCTTATCAAGATTACCTATTATTTTAGATATAATAGAACTGTACAGTTTGACAACATCATTATTTTTGTCCACCTTTAAGACGAGATTAACAGGATTTGGGTTGCAAACGTACTAGATCAGTCTAGTGTGTACTACCCAAGCCATACCTACCATACTAGTCAAACCTTCAAACCGATGAGATTATAAACGGACTTTAACCAAAATTTATTCAATTAACGTATAATTTATCATCCGCCACGAGTAATCACGTGCTAGCATGGATATAAGCGAACCGGTTTGCAACTTTTGTAATTAATTGGGAGGCTAATAAAAAATACAGATAAAAAACTGCATAATGGTGTCTGCAGCAGATCTTTACTATTAACTAAGTATTTTTCCAAGCACATTAATAAACTTTGTGATAATAAATTGTGGTACAGTAATATTATCTATAAAATATTATAAATAACTTGTTGAATGGTTTTAAACAAAAACACTATTGCTTTTGTCTATTTGAGTAAAAATAGTTTTAACCTGAGGTAATTTTTGTGCTTTTTTTCCTCGCTGTTTAAGTATGTAGGTACAAAGAAGTACTCAAAATTTGACGAACACCAACGCACTTTTATAATTTTTGCGCTTTTGCATAGTAAAGATACAATAATACAATATTTATATTGAGATATCGATATTATAACCTAATGTAAATTAAACACGACAGTGTAAGGACATTAATATCCATAACTAGTGAGCTCAACAAGTGGAGTGCAAATAGAAGATATAATATTACGGATACTGATTATAATCCACACAGAATTCACACACCGCTAACATTATATTCGATGGAACACAATGAAGAACACAGGATAGGACTTGAATTTAGATTGTCGAGCACATTTTGCATGTTTATTTTCCAATACAAAAGGACGGTGATTACTCTGTGCTCTATTATTACCTTTAATGAGCGCACGTAATTATACAGTGATTGAATATTAAGATGTTATCCGTTCTCGTGTTTGAATAATCGGTTTCGATCGGGACAACGCAAGCGGCGAAAAGTACAAAGGCCTCGGCTGGTTTCTACCGCTGATTACTTATTATTGAGAAAAGAGGTCTCTATGACACGAGAACTTTCTCGCACGATGGTGTTCTGTATTCGGATCGCTTTGACTGAAGTGTTTCTGGCAGGTAAGAGATGTTTCTTTTATAATGAGTGGTTGATCCGCTAACTCGCTTAATAGTCGTTTAATTTTCACTCCTGAAATGGCTTTGAATTCGGATTCTATTAAGTATAAAGTATGCTTGTGTTGGTACGATTAATATTTTAAAACGTCAATCAAAGGGGTGTCTGATTCTTCGATGTTACGAGCTGTAATATCGGAAAGAATAAATCGGGGATACTTATGGTTACTTCTGCCATGACAAAGTACATGCGGATATCTAATGATAAACTATAGTCTCTTTCTTATCTAGCAATTAAACTACTTGCATTTAGATATTCATGTTCCTATAGAATTATCGATGTTAATAGCTAGTTGATATAGATATTTTATGTTAAAAGTTGCAAGCGAGCAGGTGGTGCACCTGATGTTACGTGATTACCGCCGCCCATTGATCTAGAACACCTGACGGTTTGCAGATGCATTGCCATTTCCAACATTTAAAAGCGTGTCTCGGTCACCTCACTGGCCAGACAAAACACGAAAATATTCTACTCTTCCACTTAACGCCGGTTTTCTGTTCGGACGAGCCAGCTCATTCCTGCACCAACCAGATCTGCTGCGTGGCTCTACCACAATTAATTTGTATGTTATATGAATACAGATACAAAATAACAATTGAAAAATGCAACATCAAAGGTTACCTAGTTGAAAATGCCTTTACAAAATGTAAGTAATTATTGCGTAACAACCTGAAACTTATTTGATGAGTTTTGTTGAATTGTCTAAAATGCAGTTGTGCAATTTGTACTTGATACTACTTACTGATTACTTTCAGAACAAATTGTCGCAGGCAATAGCTTCGCAGAAAAAACATGTTGAAATCTATTCGTGTTCTATAATAATGAAGATTATTATTATATTTATTATGTTATTTTCTCTACAATATTTATGTGTAGTATCAACAGAAACGTCCTATAACTTTACAAAAGGAAGGCCGCATAAGTTAATGAACGTAATACAATGAAAAAACAGTTTTTATACTGTTTGTCGGTAACAAAAGATTGTTAATTCAGTATTGCAAACGTCGCAATTCAGATAATTATATTTTTTTTATTTTATAACGAGCATCTTGGATTCTTTAAGGGAAGAATATCAATTAATTGATCAAATGTTTGAATACGACCTAAACAGAAGCGAATTTTCGTGTATTTGTTGTTATGAACATAGTTCGTATGTTGATCTTTTAGAAGAAATATAACGAAATTCAGATGAATTAAAAACTAAATTGCAAGTTTAAGTATTCATGTAGCACTCGTCATTGCACAGTTGTAGTGTATAGTAATACGATAATGTTTGAAAATTTTCCATTCCTTTGAAATACATTGGACAATGACTATATGATTAGTTTACTCGTAACAATTTCTAAAAGACGTGTTTTTAAGCCAAGTTGAGTCTAAATTCTATGGTTCTGAAGAGTTTGAAGCATTGAAAACTCAATTTAAATTACAACAATGGAGGAGGAACGTTAGGATCGACAACCGCAAGGAGTTTTCCCACGGAAAAAAAAAACAAAAAAAAAGTATCGACAACCGCGACCGCGTTTCGTCAATAATGACAAATACTTTCTATAAGTACCATATTAAGAACATTATAATTATTATATACTATATTAAGTAAAAAAGAAAGATTTTCAAAACTGGCTCAGGACAGTAGTTGGAAAAGTTCACGTATATCACTCAAACTGCCGCTTTAGTTTAACCACTTACCGCAGCACTTGCAATGCATTTTGTAACCGAGGCACGTTTCTCAACTTAGTTATAGAGTTTATTTTTATCAATGCACATATCGCGTTTAACGTTTGACAGGACCAGTCGCAACTGTTATTGTAACTAGTATGTCTTTAATTACGATTTTAAACAATCCCAGGCAGAAAGAACCGGTTTCGGACTAAATATTTCATTTAAATATTATTTTATTTCAAAGCAAAGTTGACGCATTATAAAAACGCACGTTAGGTAATTAAATGATTACGCGTAATAATTATTGTCCCGTATTTTGCGTTTTAAACTGTTCTTCAACGTATTCTTTTTGGGTATTAAACTCGCGTAAATATCTTGTTCATATAGGTCCAAGTAAAATACACAGTGGACTATAATTTGTTCAGTGTAGGAACTTCTGTTTATTTAATATTCACATTTTTGGACTCAAAAGAAGCACGAATGGTTTTTTTTTATGTGAGAAAGTGGCAAACGAGCGGAACGAAAGCGGTTCACCTGATGTTAAGTGATAACCGCCTGTCCATGGACATTTGCAACACCCGTAGGGTTGCAGAAGCGTTGCCGCCTCTTAATAATGTGGGCGCCGCCTCACTCACCAGACGAAACGCAGAAGTGCAACACTTCTATTTTACGTCGGTCTTCTGTGAGGTCGTGATACTAACCCGGACGGACCTGCCCATTCGTTGAACAGCGAACACTGTTGCGTGGCCCTACCACCGTAAAACGGTGACTTAACAAATAGTTTAGAATTGCATGGCAACCTTTCCAACCAAAAATAAAAATATACATCAATCGGTAATAAAGCCGTGAGGTGGACTATGCCCTCGGTGTCAGTAGGTATTAAAGTGTTCATTTCATTTTTGACAGGTATGAAAATCTGTTTGTTTTACTTACTCCAAACTCGTTACGTTACTTTAAAATACACGGTAGTGTTTACTTATTTCATTGATTTTACATAAGCTTTACCCACTGAAAAGAAAACCCTGTTTCATGGGAGGTTTCACAAAACTTAAATAAGGGGGGTGCAAAGTAAATGCAGACTCTGACTGAATATTGTACCGAGATAAATGTTTGTCTCATTGGCAAAGTAAAAAAGTCACTCGTGCACTCTTATACGCATTTCCGTTATTTTCTATAATTCAAGCATCTTTAAAATTATCGACGGCACCCAGATTTAATAGATAAAGTACATTTTGATACGGAAATTATTTTAATCTGCACACAGATTGAATATTATTTAGTTTTCATCAAGTATTTGCTGCTCAAGTAGCCAGTTTTACAGGTTTACTAGAGCTGTTGTAATAAACAATAGGTAGTTGTTGTTTCTCAATGAGGAAAAAAGCAAAGCCTTTTATCTTGTGTGTAAAGAAAACGTGTTTTCGCTGTTAACTGTGTTTTTACTTCAAAAACGCATTTACTTGTCACATCTAACACTAAGCTAACATGGATTCTCTTTACTTTTGGCGCGGTTACAAAATACAAATTATAACTTTATTTAAATTAAAACAGACCAATACATATTACTAAAGTTCCATTTAAATAACAACCGAGCACAATATTCAATTTAAATATGTTATTTTAATGATGTATATACCTAATAAATAATACTTACAAATTTACTTAAAAAGTAGAAGGAAGAACTACACAAATATTTTCAGAAGACTTAATAGTTTTTAAAACAAATCTTTTAAATTGTCGTTAGATATGATGGACGTATGGTATCGACATATCCATTCAAGAAGAAAAAATACCTAACCTATGCTTTCTTTCAGTCAAAATACATTAATTTCCTTTCATCTTTATGCTACAGGAAATTGCAGATAATGGGGGCTGATAAGTACGCTAGCGTTGCATGTTGTTGCTTACGACTGATAAAAAATATAACATTAGTTTTACAAAAAATATCTACGACTAATAATTAATCTATGGAAAATTTTTAGATATTTAGTATTGGCCAGTGCTTTTTCGTGTTAAAATATATACTTTCGCATAAAGAAGTACTTTGTTTAAAGATGTCAGGTTGCTTCATTTTGCGCTAGTTATGTTACTAAGTATAATTTTATGAAAGTTGAATGGACGAAGCAAGAAATGTGATAATACACTTAACCAAATTGCCTAGCAGTTTGTAAGTAAGCGCGTAGGGTTGCCAATCGTAACTGTAATATAATTATAGTGTAATATAGTTGAACTGTATTTCGAGTCCGCGTACTATGTACCGTTGAACAAATGTACATCAATACTAAATCCATTAATTACTATGTTTGTTTGAAATGTACCCTATTTTCATAGCATATTTTGAAGTATACTGTAATCAGCCGAAGAAATATGTTGGTAACCCTGTAAGTGAGTACAATAGCATTCACCTTTCCGCTTAGAACGTATTATAATAGCGACCAAATTACAATTTAAAAATGCTATTAAAGGCCTTTTCAGGTTTATAATATTGTGTAATAGTTTATTTGACAAGCAGTTCCTAACGGAATCTTTAGGAAATCATTATTTTGATTAATTTTGCCCAAGAATAAATAAACTTAATATGAATTAATCAATCTTTTGAGGCTTGTTAATGTCGAACACATTATGGATATTAATACCAAATGAAAAATTATAATTGGTTTTTCCAGTATTCAACACATGCGGAAGTAGAGTTTTTAGACCATTTCCTCTGTGAAATTCAGGTTCAGATTCAGCGTGTATATTTTTACCTGTAATGGCGTTCATGATTGATACCAAGATATTATAGACTCGATCGAGTAAAAATCGTACGTTTGCTTGAGCTACTCGAGTTCATTGCTCGATTTTAATATTTCCTATTCTAATGTAAAGTAAAATTACAATGTTGGGTTTTTTATTTGTCGGTTCTTATAATTAAAGGTGTTTTGTTTACAAAAAAAGAAGTAAATTATACTTTTTTTTCAAATGTTATTTGAGTTGCCAATAATAATGTTTTTGATTATTAAGAAGATCATTCTGATCAAATAGAAGCGTTAGAGTGCAAATTGTCGTCATGTCGACCGTATACCTCACACTCGTGTTGTCAAGTCACTCGGCGCTAGTTAACTTTTTTCCCGTGCCAATTCAACTGTTCGAGCCGACCACGGCGTCGACCTCGGCCTTGCGCAAGACTAACCTTCGGTTCCTTGCAGGCACTCCAGTTCGACGGTGTAATCCCACAGGTCCAGCGAGTTCAGACCGTTCAGCTCCCAGTTGCTGGAGGCGTCCTGTTCCGTTTCCTCGCTCATTTTCCTCCCATCGAACACGTTGCGTCGCAAAGGTCGCTTCGGATTCACTTGCGGGTTGCGGCGCGCGCGGCCATTTTTCGTCGAGTACGATCGCCGACGCAACTTTTGCCGCGTCGCGCGACGGACTGCGCGGCGCTCGGTTGCCTTAGCTGGGAACCCCCGCCCCCGGCCCCTCACGGCGATTACGCCGAATCGCGTTTCGATCTCATTCCGTCCGATCGTGCGCCGATAGCGAAAGAAATTAACCAACACTATCGCAGGCGGCGGCTTAGCGTACAAATGCAGTGCCTAATGCCCCAGCCGATGGTTGTTCGGGAGAAAGTACGCGCGGCCGCGGAATGCTCTACGGACAATCAAAATTTCATGTTACGCGATGGCGGTGCGGCTGGGAAGCGTTACGTATAATGCATCGCTTGAAAATTTCGCATGATTTGTGAACATTCACAAGGCTAAATCAAGCGGGTAGATAATCAAAGCTAATCCCTGTAAAAAGTAGCCTATACATCTCCCACTGCTGGGCAAAGGCCTCCTCTATACAGAGGGTATCAGGGCATAGTCTACCACGCGGCCCCACTGCGGATTGGCGGACTTCACATATCTTCGAAATATTTTTTTTTGTTATTATTTAGAAAATATGCAGGTTTCCTCACGATGTTTTCCTTCACCGCGGAGCACGTGATAAGTCAGCACTTAAAGTTAAAAACTTCATTGGATCGAACTCAGGTTGCCCGAGTATATTGAATTAAAGGCGCCCGGACACTGAGCTATCACGGCTACTGACTTCATACTACATAATCCCTGTAGTAGCCACAAATGTGATGATACGTAGTAGGCACAAATATGAAAAGGTGATGTAACATATTTTTTTTTACGAAAACCCTTTTTTCACGTTGGATAACTTTCGGCAACTACGCATTTATTCATACTCTACTAGCAACCCGGCCATGGCTTCCTCTTGAATCACTCTATCTAGTGAAAAATCAAGATCTGTTGCGGAGTTTAAAAGATCTAAGTATACATAGGGACACAGACTTTTATACTATGTAGTGCTATGCATTATTTCTCTATGTTTTTGAGAACATAGAGAAAGAGACACTTCAGTGTATGGGCGCACGTTTTTAATTCAATTTAGGTACTCGAGCAACCTAGGTTCAAGTTCCATTGGCGGTACCCATGAAATTGTTGGAATTTTAAGAAGTTATATATAACAACTCATCACTTATAGATTAAGGAAGCCGAGAACAAATCTGTATGTTTTCGAAATGATAATTTAAAAGAAATTAGAAGAACTGCAAAGCCTGCTAATCCGCGGTGGGGTTGTGTGGCCTAGCAGTGAGTCATATAAAGGCTGTTACTACCTGAGAACATATTTTTGAAACATTATACTCGTATGTGATAATTGTTTTTCGTCAACACAGCGATTACAATAAGGTCGTAGACCTGGTTAAGCGAAGTGAAAAGTTGCACGCTTGTCAAGTTCGAGCGAGACAATTCGATTTTTAATGTAATCGTTATATGACCCAAATTGGCTTGGCGTTAAGTTTTAATTGAGGCGTGGTTTGCTGCTGACATAACCGTCAGGTGCACAGCGGGATTTTTGATGGTTGACCGGTTCAAGGCAGCACAGTGCCGCTCCACTGCACCATAATATTATATCTTTCAAGCAGCTCATATAACTTCGTGCTTAAAGTAAAGTAAACTAACAGTCAATACATGTAACACTACTCGGCAAAGGCTCTGATCAGAGGGTATAAGGGCATAGTACACCACGCGACTCCACTATAGATTGGGGCGTTCTCATATCTACGATTTTTTTTTTATTGAAAATATGCAGTTTCCTCATAACATTTTCCTTCGCCGCTGATTAAGTAGTGCCGGCATCGACATTTAAACTCAGTTCGAGAGTTAAAAATCGAGCGCCCGGACACTGAAATATCATGGCCTGACATCTATTTATTATTGTTATTCCGCTTCTGCACGAAGGAATTAAAAAATGGCACAACGCACAAGCATGCTCGGTTCGAATTTGTGGATCGGAAAGCCTGTCGTTCCGTATTTAGGGATTTAGGGATTGAACCTATTGACGGCGCGACAGCAGTTTGAGAGGCGACCATTGAAACCGTTGCTCCATCCGTACAGTTTGTACAGTAAAAATGATCGACAAAATAGTTACAGAATATCGATAACTGTCGTGCGTATCACTTAATTGGATTCCAGAAACAGATAGGACCGTCTCGTTACGAATGAAATGTAAATATTGAATGACCGTTACCGTGCATTACTACCCGTGTTGATAATGTTTATATTACAAACAAAAATTGACGTCAAATGTCATTGACCGCCACTAAACAAATGCATTAGATGACTAACATCTAGATCCGTTGAAGTTAAAACTTGTTATATATCAGAACTGAGCCTCGCAAAAGGATGGATTTAATTTTCGTTAAGGTTATTCATCCTTAAACTGTCCATTCTTCCATGGACTGTCTTCCCCCAAAAGAATATAAATATAAAATAGGTCTTAATGCATTACCCACTCTTAGTTGCACGTTTCAAATTATTGCAAGTTGTTATTATTATTTAATATATTGATAGAACATATACATAAAAGTATTAAAAAGTCGATGGTAGCAGGTGGCTCAGGACAATGTTTCGTGTCAGTCTTTAGCCTATGTTCAGTAGTGGACTCAAACAGGCTGAAATGATGATGCTGATGATATATAAAAACCAAAAAATGTATGATGGGAGGATAAGGACTGGATGGCAATATATCACAATATGAATTTTTAAGCCATATTAACAAAATATATTTGGTCGACCTATTTGTCCTACACTCGTATAGTCTCTAACTGGTATCACGAACCTCACGATATCGCAAAGTCACGTTTTACGAGGTTAAGGTCGTACACATACGACAACTGTTTCGTTATAAAATTTTATACGATGATTACTGCCTCTTCTTTTATATCACGAACATTGTTGTCTCGTACATTCTCTTTTTTTTATCTTTAGAAAAAAAAATTGTTAAATCGTTTGCATTTTTTTTAATAATGACATTTATATATTGTACCAGATGGTATCTCATGCTTTATTGTCTTTTTTGACCTTACAATCTTTTGTGGCTGATAACCTTTTTAAATACACACATCACCAGAGACCTTAGCATTAAATTTATTAAAGTTCCTCCTGAGAAGAAATATAGGGTCTTATTCTTGTATTCTCATTATAAATATATGAGTTTTTGTTTAATTTCAATCTCTTTAATTAGTCAAATCCATTGAAAGTGTTATTTGTATAATTGACTTTATCATATTAAAAATTGTACTCTCACCAAATTTTATGATCAATTTCAATTGTTATCACAAGCCCTCATTACGTCAAACACCGGACGATTGCTTTAAGCAAATATTGTGCGTCGTTGTGGACAATTTGTCTCACTTACTCAACGTCTGCTGCACATGCTTCATCATTCAAGTCAACATCCGAGATTACAGCTTCGACGTTACTTAACAACGTACAAGAACTTGGTGCAGAAACAATTAAGAGATGATTTAAGTTAAAATTGATAAAATCTCCATTGTGACTAAAAAAAATGTATCATTTATCAATTTATTTATTTTTATACATTGAAATAATAATACGAAACCAAATGTAATTTGTTACACGCATAGTAAATCTAATACATTAAAGTAAAATGCATTTGATCAACACAGATGTGTTCTTAAAAATAAATTGCGGAGTAGTGGCTAGTTCTCGTCATAAGAAATTTTAGGAACGCACTATGCGGAACGGATTCCCGTTGCGTTTTATATGCAATACATTTCCAAGTTTATCAAAAATTTTATCGATTAATCAAGCATTAAGTTTTGTTTAGCTTTGAAAATGTCTATTTATATATAATTATTTTATTCGGAAAATTTGCGATGCGAAATGCGAAATTTCGAAAGTAATTTGAGTGCAAGTACTTCTATAGAAGACTGACGGATCAGCTTTGATAATGTGCCTTCTGAACAAAGGACGTTTCTTAAAATCTCTTCCGTGAATGAAGAGGCTGAATAAATATATTAAAGAGGCTTTTACGCGAAGCTTCCATCAGTCAGAGTCGAATGAATTATGTAAAGCAATTTCAAAATAATCACCTACGGCGACGTGCAATTCTTAATTCGTATATAAACACTCGAATATTGCGAAATTAGTTCAGTTTGTCAATATTGCAATACCGGCTAAATTAACTGTCTTAATTTCCTTATCATTCAAGTCTGATTCATACGTGTGCAATCAATGTTCGTTGAATAAACAAGAACATAATATATGACTTCGTGGATTTGCATGCCAGTTTTATTTTAGAAAAGATTTCATTCACTGCTTATTACAATTTGACAGTGCACAACAACAAAGAGGTGAAACTTCTTTAATTTCGGCACTGACGCAAGAGTCGTAAACATTATATTGTTGCAAAACAGAAAGTTTCCACAAGTTGTTGCACCTCATAGAAATAGTGGTACAATAAAATACAATAGTGATTCATCCCATGTGTTCGAACCTTTTACAAACGTCAGCTCTTCGTTTAGTCTTGTTACGTAAATCAGGTAGCAGTTAACCTGAGCGCCATTGTCTCGCGATCAAAGCGCCCGATGTCTGCGTTAATGTTAATAGTCATAACCGGCCGCGTAACGCGGCGTTTCCGTGTGCAACCAACCCAAGTGTAAGTTAGAAGTGCTCATTGCACATTTCCATTGCCCAAACGGGTTTTTGGGAGAGGTGGTGGCAAACGAGCTCGCAAATCACCCGATGTTAAGTTCTTAACGCAGCTTACGGATATCTACAAAACACGCAGGATTGCGGTACCCTTTGCAAACTTCTAGATCTAGATGGACTTTGTTACCTCACTCACTAGAAGCAACGTAGCGTAGATTCTTCTGGGTTAGTGCTCGCTTCTGCAGTTAAAACCTCCACGTTTTTACTTTATATCGCTCTTGCTTCGTTTTTAATATACATTTTAAAAATGTAGATTTTCCGTTCGTCCTCGTATTTAGATCACTGCCGGCATTGCAAAAGCGGGCACCTCGTGTTGCGCTCATCAGGGCTGTCGAGCGTGTAAACTTGTGACGTTGAAACTGCTGTTTACAATACCTATGTTACGTATGCGCATCGATTACATCGCTTTACGTCGATGTTTACATGACATTGGTGCGCACTAATTGGCGCGGCGCACGCGATTGAACTCCCGAAACACCGAAAGTGTACGAAATGTAACTGACGAAAGATACGCTCTTGTGAGAGGCAAGGCCGCGAGGTGGCACTTTCTATATAGAATAAATTATTCGGCTTTCAGTTGTAGGACCACGCAATAGTCTTCTATGTTGCACGAATGGGCAGGTCCGTCCGGGCAAGTACCACGACCTCACAGAAGACCTTCAAGATTTCTGCGTTTCGTCAATAAGTTTTTGTATTTTGTTGTTTATTTAATCTCAAAAAAATAGTAATTGTTGAGTAAATTATAACGATCGTATAAGATTCTGATTTACTGCCATTTATCCATGCGAGTAAGTAATTAACTAACATTGTCCACCAAACATGCGATAACTATAAGCCATTACAATCTTTACATCATGAGACCTACGAATGTATTAAATCAGCAGCCAATCATGAGTTACAGTGATTTGCGCAATTTATTAAAAAGTTATTATTCAATTAAAGTATATCTTTTATCACCAATGTTATTAATAAATGAAAGATTCTCATCCGTTGCTAATACTAAACCTAAAGCTAATGTCCGAATTAAAACCACCGAAAGGCTTACACTTGTGAACTTGAAACATTAAATCAATATGATGAAGAGGTAACGTGGTGAGGTTTGCATAGGGTTGGTAAGGTTTATTTTCAAAACCGCAAATACCCACAAGCCAAAGAAAAGCAAATACTTTAGTAACCACATAATATTTAACAGGACATTTTCATGCTGACAATGGATTTTAACTGCTCGATTATACATTATATACAGTAAACTTCATCGATACCCGATAAAGTTTACCTTCTAGTTTTATGGATTATGAGGATTCATCTAGCTTTTTTTTAATCAAGTCTGTCCAGCAATTGACTGCAATCCCACCTGATGGTAAGTGGCGGTGCAGCCGTTGATGGTAAGCGCGCTAGCTCAGTAAAAACCTATTCACTCTTGCCTTGAATTTATAACCGAATCCTAGTTTCATTATCAACTTTTTATTATAGCCCATAATAAAAAGTTAAATAACTGAAGTAAGCGTATTATATGTTTATTTCAAAGGTTTGAAAATATTTTATATAGGTTTGTTGCCAGAACGCGCACCGGGAGTAAATAGGTAGGTACGTCTGGCTATCGACATTTTTGGTAATTGTGAACCGCCCTTCCCAATACTATGCGCTCGTGCGGTTATTTCCTCATGGGCGTTGACGAGGTCAATTAACTGTGGTGTTTGTGTGAACTGTTAGTTTAATATTAAGGCTGAGGAATGCTGAGTGAAAATAACACTAGACTAAAGTGAATAATTGTCTATAGGTACGTTTTATTTACGTAAGCCCAGGATATGTTACATAATCTTCAATAAGTGAGAAAGTGGCTGTGGCGCAGATGCTAAACTAATGGTTTCGATAACACGGGTTGCGGTATCGATTCCACCACGCGATGGGTATTTTTGTGACCCACACGTAATAAAAATGGGTATTAGCCATGTGAATATTGGGAATGTAAATTTTTCTTACGACACGGGATATATTATTTATTTGTTTATTTACTATAAATATTAAAATAACCATTTTCATTGGTTCGTGCACTGAACAGTACCACGACTATTCGATTTCTATATAGAAATTTCTCGAACCTGTATAAGAAATGGATTAGTATTGTTGGCTCTTGTCGTCTTAAAAATCGGTCGATTTCACATAATTTCGAAATATATTTTTTTTTATTTCTCAGGTTTCCTATTAACGAGTGTCAACTGGTCATACATTATTTTATTTGTGCCGGAACTGAGAACGAAATGACTTCCTGAATTAAAAATTTCCCCGTACACAGCTACTTGTGCTACATTACAGCAACATAGTACAACTAGTACTTATTGTTGTTTTTAGTTGG